ACCTTGGTCAATGAAGACGTGCCCCGGAACGTTTGCTGAAGGACTGCTTGTCTTGGGCTGTTCCGGCATATGCGAATGATCTATCACCTTAAGGGGGAAAAGGTGGAAAACGTGAATGGAAATGGATTTATCCAGGGATTTTCTGCAGGTGATATATGAACCTTGCCGTCCTTCGCCATGGAAGCTAATGACCCGTGCTGGCTTTACCCTTGCATATTTGCCTCATCCAGCGCTAAATAGGTATCTTGAACCTTTGATCGATGACTCAGCTCGCGGGACAACAATCGAGGTTGGTGGAATAGAAGTGGCTTATTCAAATCACTTCTACTCGCGCTTGCTAGGGATATCGAGACCGAGACTCCCCCATGCGCGAGATTCTGGACTTGAGGGCAGCTTGAGAAGCTGCAAGGCTTTTTGCCCGAGATCAGCCCAGCCTATGATGTGCTCGCGTACGCCGAAACGATACAGCACTTCGTGTATATCCGCCGGAACTTTCCTTTGTACTTAGCAGCAATTGCAATCCGTCTAAAATCCGATTGATCAAGCATCCAGCCTCGTAGGGAGGGGCATGGACGATCGTCGTTTGACTAATAATGAAAGGGTCACCGCACAATAGATCCGGGGTCAGCTCGAAGCCATCTTGCTCTTTGCATGAGGCGCAGCAGCAACAAACAACCAGAAGTCCAGACTAGCTTGCTAGTGCTCGTTTGATTGATAATGTCTCGTATTCAGATATTCTCGCTCCATCCTGTGGCAAAGGCATGAAGACATTTGACTTTGTTCCCGAGCCACTTCAACGCTTGGCTTTGTCCATCTTGACCGTTGATGAAGATCTGTCGCTTCAGTGTCGCTTCGGTGCTTGGCCACCTCGAAGGCGTCGTGTGTCATTCGTTGTCCTCCCTCCTTGTCTACCGTATTCGGCAGGCGCTATGGAAGATGCACCCAAAAAGTTCACGAGTCGAATAGAAGTTTGCGATCAACGAGGACAATAAGCTCCTACAGACTTCCGTTTCCAGACGTATGATATGTTGCTGCTGCAACTTGTTAAAGCAGCCTTCACTAAGTTCGAGTCCCAGGTGACGACGGCGCATCACTTACCTTAACCTCTCATTGCCCTAGCGAAACCAGCCCAACGGCCAATCGAGTACGAGGACGAGGACGGAGTGATACGATATGACCCAGAAAGAGCCTCTCGATCGGGCGAATATTGCTACATTGGCCCTTGAAAGCATTCCGATGCGCAATCATGAGGAATCCATGCCTGGCCACTGTGACCGATCTGGGTTAAACTTGTCTCGTCTCTAATTGGCTGTCGTTGTGCCGGGATCAATGGTCTTCAAACCTAGGAGGGGGATTCGGACTCGAATGCCATGTAATGTCCAAGAATGTCTTGATGCATTGTCCTCTTAAATCACGGTTCGCTCGAAGACTCTGTGAATAAGCAAGATGCTTGGTGAGAAGACGTCAGTCCTCGTGAACCCTTGTAAGGTCTATTGAGGAGGGCTCGAAGGCGACGTATAAAGACTGTCTGGATTAACCCTGTCAAGGTTCATCCTACAACAGTTGTCAAGACCTTCTGTGAGTACATAACATATTCCCACGTTGTGACAACGGCCATCTCATTTTCGAACAAATGGGTTCCATATCAGAACGCGCCATTCCGGCAGGAAGTCTGGTCGTCGTGAGTGGTGCCAATGGTTTTATCGCGAGCCACGTCGTTGATCAGCTTCTGCTGGCTGGCTATCGTGTCAGGGGAACGGTCCGCAACTCTCAGAAGTCTGCATGGTTGATTGACTATTTTGGCAACAAATATGGTCCCGGCAAGTTCGAGCTGATCGAAGTGCCAGAAATGGCCAAAGATGGAGCGTTCGACGACGCTATAAAAGGCGCCTCTGGATTCATTCACACAGCAACACCCGTGATGGTGTCGTACGATCCAAATGAAGGCATTCCAATCGTGGTAAATGGCACTCTGAACGCACTCGAAGCTGCGGCCAGTGAGCCCTCAATCAAGCGCTTTGTGCTGACTTCGTCTTCCACTGCTGCGATCAGCCCAAAGCCAAATGTCGAGTTCAGCGCAGATGAATCGACTTGGAATGACGAAGCCGTCAAGGCAGCCTGGGCTCCTCCTCCCTACGAAGGCGAACAGAGAAAACTCGATGTGTATTCGGCTAGCAAGACACAGGGAGAGCAAGCTGCTTGGAAGTTTATGAAAGAGAAGAAGCCTGGCTTTGTCTTGAACACAGTTCTGCCAAACTGCAACATGGGTCTAGTGCTCTCACCTGAACATCAAGGAGCACCAAGCACAATCGGCTGGCTCAAGGCACTCTGGAACGAGTTCAAGGGGCAAGAGAAGCTCGCATTCAATCCGCCGCAATACTATGTGAACGTTCAAGACAACGCCCGCATCCACGTCGGCGCCCTGATTTGTCCGGATGTCCAAGGAGAGCGCTTGTTTGCGTTCGCGTACCCTTTCAACTGGAATGATATTCTGGCCATATACAGGAAGTTGTACCCTGAGCACAAATTCATGGATGATCTACCCGATCTCGGCAGGGATCTCAGCAAGATCTCGAACGGAAGAGCAGAGGAGATTGTAAAGCGGTTTGGAAGACCAGGATGGACGAAATTGGAGGATACAGTTCGTGACACTACGAAGGATTGGGCTTGAGGCGGAAGGCATGAGTAGTCCATCAAGGAGAAATTGATTTGATTCAAACGATTCTTAAGATTGGACAAGATGTGGTTAGAAGTATCACGTGAAATGTCACGTGATAAATCTACCGAAGTACTCTGTTAGGAACGCGCAATTCCGAACCCAGCCCGACTTTTTCCTAGCCTCTCTCCTGTCCTCAATCCAAGAATCGTCCTCCGCAAATCGCAGGGCGTCATCATGATGAGTCTCCCATAGCAAGAGGCTTCTTTGGCCCGCGGAACTTGGGACCCAAGAAATGATACTTATTCAACAGCCGGCCATTCGGCAAGTTGAGGATTATGTAGGAGACCTCAAGTTCTTCCCTTATCTGTCGTATTCCAACGTTTCGAGTCACTCTTTCAGTTCCTTCGTTACTTTTTACCTTGATTCTTGATCTGTCTTCACACCAGCTTTGCTCCTCGTCAACATGAGGTACCAAACTCTCCGATTTACCATGTTCTACAAAGAGCCCAAGCATGAGACCAGACAGGCATCGAATGCGCAACCCTCACACGGATCATTGACCTCCGGGTCTAGTTTGCGTTCACCGACTTCGACAGCTTCTCTTTTATCAAGATACTCGACAAATTCGACATCCGACCAACGGACAAGGAGTGAGGGAGAGGCAAGAAGAAGATGATGATGAGCAGGGTGACGCAAATATATATCTCACACCCAGTGGAAGCCCGTCTTAACCAAGTGGTTCTGCGCGCCAAAGACAAAAACCAGCGCAGTTGACTCTTCCCTGGGTTTTTGGGAGGGACTCCAAAACATCCGACCGGCATGTGGATCGAATCAATTTCGGGAAGTACGCACCCAATATCAAAGTCGATCGTGTGCTTCCGCACCTTGAGGCAGCACGATCCTGGCGAGACTCCTGCACTTGGTAGGTGAAGCCACAACAAACCAATTGCATGGACAGCCACATATCGGGATGCTCACCCCTCGGCCGCCGAACATCGTCAATGCGTCACCGGCGTGGATGTTCTTAAAACCTTACAGTGTGGACTAATGATTGATGAGAGAAACGCATGTGATCACTGATTGACAGCTGTTAAATATGGACGTACATGTGAAGTTGAGGCTGGTCATGTACGAGGTACGATGCATGGAGTAAAGAGCTGTGAGGACATGACATGTGGACTACAAGTATACCTAATGATACCCAATATGAATTTGATCTCAAAGTGGATTCTCGAGGAGTTGCTATAATGATCATTTGATTTGATTGAAAGGGAAAAGCCATGTGACATCGTGTTTCCTACATTGCATCACCTGAGGTCGTGTCCTTACCGCCTAATACCCAAAACTTGGTATTTTTCACATGCCTCGGACTGGTTAATTCCTACTAGGTAAGTGTGGACAGGGGAATCAGGTTTAGGGGCCCTCGGGGATCGAGCCAGGCTGGAAGGCCGCGGGCATTGAGACCGAAGCATGTGAAGTCCGCGGACTCGGGCTTGGAGAAGGCTTGTGCGGAGACCCCAGCACAAGAGCCTGGAGCGACTCCTGTAGGGGTGTAGGGGCCCCGGGGCGCAGAATGCAGGCGAGAACTGCGACCCTGATCTGGTCTGTTGTAACTGATGAAAGGAAATTTCCCCGGCCAAGCTGGGACACAGTCCTTTAGAAGTCGGCGAATATGACAAGCTTTCCTGGATCCCACAAGGTACAAAAGCCGAACTCAAACAACGCCTGAGAGGACAGTCAATAATTCTTTGTTCTTGCGAAGCTGAGTCCAAGATCGCTGTGTGTGGACCTGGCACTTGAGTATTACCTGTACTCGTAAGCGGAACGCGGAATAATTCAAGGTTGCGGGCGCCAACCAACCAGCTGGAACATATTTGGCAGTCAGCGGCTGGCAGGTGGCAGGTTACCGGGAAGCCGAGGTTCATTTCATGTGAATTGTCTTCCTCCTCGCTCCTAGGTTGCCCAGTGGCATAAACGACAATTGACTGCGTCGAGTCCCCGTTACTGCGCAGGTGATCGTTTTCATCTCGCTCAAGCTTCGAAAACTCATCATCCTTCTTCTCTCTTTCCTTTCCATACCTCTCACCTCCTCCCATCCGTCTATTGCCGCCTTCGAATTACTTCCTGTCTGTCCGAAAAATGACCCCTCCTCGTGTCATTGTTGTTGGCGGTGGCCGTACGGAACCCTCCCTCTTTTGATGCTGGTGCAGTTGATGAGCTAACTCTGCGACATCACAGTGTCTGGTCTCAGTGCCGCCCATACCGTCTACCTTAATGGAGGCAACGTCCTTGTTTTGGACAAGAATAGTGTGTGGAATCGAGGGTCTTCCATGACGAGACAATGGCTAACACAAACGCAGACTTCTTCGGTGGCAACTCTACAAAAGCCACCTCTGGTATCAACGGTGCACTCACCCGAACTCAAGTCGATCTCGGCATTCAAGATAGTGTGAAGCAATTTTACGAGGATACGCTCAAGTCAGCCCGTGACAAGGCCAGACCAGATCTCATCCGAGTGCTCACATACCAATCCGCGGCTGCCGTGGAATGGCTTCAGGATGTCTTCAATCTCGACCTGACTCTTGTTTCTCGATTGGGGTATGTGAGATTTCGAATCCTTGAAATACCGGGTCTAATGCAGTGTATAGCGGTCACTCCTTCCCCCGAACCCACCGAGGACATGATGCGAAATTCCCCGGTATGGCAATCACCTATGCTCTGATGCAAAGACTAGAAGAGCTATGCGAGTCGGACCCTGAGAGAGTTCAAGTCATCAAGAAGGCCAAGGTCACGTCTTTGAACACAGAGGGCAACCTGATCACCGGTGTTACCTACGAATATGACGGAGCGTCGCACTCGGTGGATGGCGTAGTCGTTCTGGCCACTGGCGGATATGCGGCCGACTTCACAGAGACATCCCTTCTCAAGAAGCACAGACCAGACACGTTCAATCTGTCTTCGACCAACGGCACACACGCCACTGGTGACGGGCACAAGATGTTGATGGCAATTGGTGCAAATGACATTGACATGGACAAGGTTCAGGTCCACCCTACCGGTCTAGTCGATCCTAAGGATCCCAACTCCAAGTGGAAGTTTTTGGCTGCTGAGGCCCTGCGAGGTGAAGGTGGTGTTCTGCTCAACAGCGACGGCCAACGATTCTGTGACGATCTCGGTCACCGTGACTACGTCTCTGGCAAGATGTGGGAGGAGAAGGAGAAGGGCAAATGGCCCATTCGCCTGGTTCTCAACTCCAAGGCCTCCAATGTCCTTGATTTCCATACCCGGCACTACTCCGGTCGTGGCTTGATGAAAAAGATGACCGGCAAGGAGCTGGCCAAGGAGATCGGCTGCGGTGAGGCTGCGCTGGACAAGCAGTTCAAGGAGTACAACGCTATTGCCAAAGGCGAAAAGAAGGATCCGTGGGGAAAGAAATATTTCCACAACATGCCCATGGACATCAACGACACTTTCCACGTTGCACTGATGGAGCCTGTGCTGCACTTTACCATGGGTGGTATGGAGATCAACGACAAGGCCCAAGTGCTCAACAGGGAACATAAACCCTTTGAAGCTCTCTTCGCCTGTGGTGAACTTGCAGGCGGCGTTCACGGTGCCAACCGTCTCGGTGGCTCCTCACTGTTGGGCTGTGTGGTCTACGGGCGTGTTGCAGGTGCATCGGCGTCTCAATACCTGTTGCAGAAGCTTACCACCCAGGGAGGTGCCGCCGGAGCCTCTCAGCGTCTGGGTCAGATCTCGCTACATATTGATCCCAGCACTCCCGGGAAGATCTCAGTGGAATGGGGTAGTGGTAGTGGATCCTCGGGACCCTCAGCAAGGACTGAGACAATCTCACAGCAAGCCCAAAAGAGCGCGGCTCCGGTGATGGACGGTGACAAGAGCCAAGATCCTGGCAAGAAGAAGGATGTCAACGACATCAGTAACTTCAAGGTCCCAGAGCAAGAGTACAGTCTGGAGGAGGTCGCCAAACACAACAAGAAGGATGACCTGTGGATTGCCGTCAAGGGTGTCGTGATGGACGTCACCAACTGGCTCGATGAGCATCCAGGTGGTCCCCAAGCGCTGTTCAGCCACATGGGCAAAGATGCTACAGAAGGTAAGCCTGCAAGATCTCAATTTGACGGTATACTTGCTAACATCTGCACAGAGTTCGAGATGCTTCACGACGACGAAGTGATTCCGAAATATGCAGCTGACATTGTCATTGGCCGCGTCAAGGGTCAAGAAGTTCGACTGGAATATTAGGTCGCGTGATCAGTGTCTCCTTCGGAAGCATTTTGGGTTGGGAGACAGCATGGAGTTGACCCTTGTATCATGTGCAGCTATAGCATTTGTATGTTCTGAGACTAAAAATAAATCAAGCTGCCTTTGTCAAATCCACTTCCGGGACATATTATGTATGTTGCATGCCTGTTGTTGTAGTGAGGAGACTTTTTGGTGTCTCGGTCTTGCTCGGTGTGTCTGGAAACGGAAATTCCTGGTTCTAATGACAGTCATTTGACTCCACCTCCGGAACCGTTATTTCGCTCGCCTCAACTCCCTCGCAAGGCCTTATGCGACATCTTTCCTTCTGTTACCAGCTTTGATCTCGTGGGCCAGCACATCTGAGGACTTATCCAAGACCGTGGACCCTGGGACAGTGCGGAATGGTCGCAGCGAGATATTGATTCAGGTAAGGACTGCCTGATGGAACTCATGCATCTCGCCCACATCCCACCTTCTGAACGAGGCCCAACACTGCGCGCACCCGAAGAGACAAGCTCACCGCGAGGAAGTCGGGAGAGGAGGTTTCCCACGAGGCCTGAAGGCTGCGCGCACAGTGCCTGGGGGTGCGATGCTCACCGGGAGTCTTCATGTTCTAACTGTGTTCTGCCTGCCATGATCCTCTCCCACCTTTGGTCACTTCACTCTGACTTGCTAATCACCATCAAGTAAATAGGGAAACACCGTCGCCGACTCTGTCCGAACCCTCAGCACTCATTCGGGATTCGTCACTGCCGTTCACGCCTGATTCGCTCTCTCCGCCGAAACCACACATTTCTCCACTGTCGAGATGGATCGCAGGGAGATCCTCTCTAAAGGCTCGGCACTCCAAAAAGCTATTGCCGCGAAGGAGCCGTCTGCAAATATCCTGACAATTCTGCGCGACCTAAAGGCGAACGTACGGCCTAGCGAAGAACTTTTGCGCGCCACGGGAATAGGCAAGATCGTTAATAAAGTGAAGGGAGTACCTAATGTGGACCCTCAAGTCAGCCAACTCGCTGCAGAGATAATATCCCGCTGGCGGCATGTGGTGAACGAGCAAAAATTGGCGAGCGGGACGTCTACACCTACCGCCAACGGGGCGAGGTCGAATGGCACGAGCTCGCCGGTACCTCAGAAGCCCGCCACACCCACGCCAAAGGCGGCCAGCCCTGGAGTTGCACCTGATAAACGCAACTGGAAAACGGATAAAGTACCGCGCGACGAGTTGACATCCGACACGGCTCGAAACAACTGTATCGGGCTCATCTACGATGGTCTATGTCTGGGTTCCGAAATTCCCATGAAACAGATCCTTGACCTGGCCAAGCAAATCGAGACCGCTGCCCTCAATCTCCCTGACGCTAAAGGGTCCTCGGCTTCAACCGTGTACAAAGACAAAATCCGCTCTTTGTACCAGAACCTCAAGAATAAATCCAACCCCGGACTGCGAGTGCGCATTTTGTCGGGGGAAGTTACCGCACAACGATTTGTCACCATGTCACACGAAGAGATGAAATCGCGGCAACAACTAGAGGAAGACCGCAAGATAGCAAAGGAGAACATGAATAATGCCATGGTGGCACAGGAAGAGAAGTCCGTGAGTACTTCTCTGGAGTGCGGAAAGTGTCACCAGAAAAAGGTCAGCTATTCTCAAGCGCAGACGCGGAGTGCTGATGAACCGATGACAACCTTTTGCGAGTGTCTTAATTGTGGCAACCGGTGGAAATTCTCTTGAGATTTGCGCAAAACTAATGTACTACTGGATTTTTTGGGCGGGTTATGTGATTCAAAGTGGCACCAAAGGGGCAAGCAATCCTGGGCAACACTTGGAGCTGGTTTCTTCAAAAGAAATGGATCTTGGGAGAAGAAGAGAGACAAGCTTGAGGTGGTATCGGGGGTGTCCTTGTTCGCGGTTGACTCCAGCCAACAGAAGAGACGAATGCAAGCTGGTGTCGCGTGCCGTGCATTGGGAAGCCGAGTTCTCCAGACGACTATTGCCAAGTGCGCTACCAGCTGATCTTCTCATTCTACGCTTCTGGTGGATGTTGACAAATCTAGGTGTCGCACTCGTGGAAAGCCAGGCAGCGAGTGGTCAGACCGTATGCTGAAAGACGACCAGTCGACGAAAAGCCCGCCATGGAGGCGCCCAGCACGGCTCTAAACGGGCGGAGACAATGGACAAGACTCACTGCGAGGCCGCATAGAGATTGTTGCAGACACAAAGGCAGAGCAAGATGAAAGCGGCCAACTGCTGAACACTGGGTCTGTGGGCAGGGAGAGGCAGGGTCCTCCTAATGGAGAATATTGCAGCTTTGTATCAAGAAATTCCCCCAATGAACATGAGATAATGAAACTTTTCTTTGAAACCAAACATCATTCAACGATCCGGGGTAGACAGGTGTATGGGCCTGACAGGCAAGCAAGAAGACCCACTCACTCGGCTTCAGGGCCAGATGAAAGCCGATACCCCCTTTGAGTGCGAGGGAAGTGCTGAACTGTGACCTGTATAAAGTCCCAAGGAGATAAAACAACTCGGCGGGAATCATGTTCTTGACCCGATCCCGACCTTTTCGGCTTATTAAGCCTCAGCTGCCCGGCCACTATGGCTGGCTGTGATGATACGAGTACGAGGTTCTAAGTAGGTAGGGGGGAACTGCGTGGGGGAATGAATTGACCGTGCCGATCGATATCCCACACACTCATGTCTGCCTCGCCGCACCTCCTCGCCCCTTAGTGCGCCCAGCCTTGTTCGTTCGTCCATCTGGAGCGGGTCATCATACCGCATACATAGGTACCTCGTACTCGGATATGTATGTGTACGTATGTATATATAAAGAGAGCGATGGAACGGGCTTGAATGCGGGTGGTAAGATAAAATATGTTAGAGGATGCTTGCCAGGGAACGACCAGACACGATCTGAAGTGGCTTACTTGTCTCATCATCATCATATTATCATCGTCATATTGTTATCATCGCGGTTTTCTTTGTAAAAAGGCATCAAAGCCCATATCTGCTCCACATACAGGGTTTTCAAAACAAGGGGATAGGAATAATGGCCACCCTCGACACCACCTTGACCGTCCTCCTCGTCGCCCGCAAAGGCAACGCTTTGGACGAGGCGCGAGCCCGGCTCCTGCAGACGAACATCGACGAGAAAGCCCACCCATCTCCCGGGTCTGACAGGCGGGTATATGTAGGAACTACTTTGGACGACGTACAAAGTGCCTTCGATCAAGCCGCCAAAGAGGCCCGCACGATCCAGCATGTCTTTGTAGGTGCGGGCTTGGAGCTCGAGCTACGCCTGGAGATTGTCAAAGAAGCCATCTCCCGCAGCGGGGATACCTGCGTGCACTTGAAGGATGCAACTTCTGGGCCAAGCGGATTTCTGCCCTTCATTCAGGCTGTGTTGGGAGATCGAGCGTGAGGGAGTGTTCGGTCATTTTCCACGGCGATCTTCTCTGTTGGACATCGACGGAATAAGCGGTGCGCAATGGCGTTTGTCTCAAGCATCAAGGAAAACTAAAGGAGCGATGAGTGAGATAGGAGCACTTGCTTCATGTCTCGCACTTTGACCATAGCAGGGGAAAGTATACGAGTGCTCTGTCTTTTTCCCAGAATGGTGGCATTTGGCTGGCTGCTGGTCAGCGTCAATGGCTAAAAGTCAAGGAGACCAAATCATTCCAAATAATCTAAACAGGCCAAAACCACTGTATTTTGGAGCCCACTGTCTCAAATCAATGTCCACGCTTGTGGTATCCGTGAAGCCTAACTTGAGAAAGAATTCGTGCGCAGCGGGCTCAGAGCAGACCACGAGTGGGACACCTTCAGTCCTCGCTCTTTCGAGGCAGGCATGGACCAGTTGTGACCCTATCCCTTGCCGACGGGTCGAAGGCTTAACGCAGATATATGAGAGCTCTGCTCCCTCTTGGTCAGCATAGGTGGAGATCGTTGGCCACAAGACGTTGTACCGAAGTGATCGAATCCTACCGCGCTTCGGGCGATCTCAGACACCGCCCCGGATACTGCTTCGAGAACCTCCGAGTTGAAAAATTCAGGTATATCCTGCGGCTTTTCACTTCCGATGCCTTTACCCGAGGGCGGCTGATTGTTTGTATTCCCGGTAGAGGACCGTTTTCTAGTCAAGGCAAGATATCCGAGAATATCCCCCGACTTCTCGTCGATTGATTTTAGACAATCGACAAATTCACCTTGGAATGCTGTTTCGACAGCAGCTGCATAGAGCGGTTTTTGAGCACCCTCATTGGGCCAATCTTTGAATAAGAGGCGATTGATGGGGAGAGCGAGTTTGCAGGTGTGGACGAGGTCGGAGAGGAATGGAAGATCAGAGTGCGAGATCGGGTGGATGGACTGCTTATGATGATCCATCTCAGTCTAATCGCTCTTCGTTGTAGGGGTTCGAGTGCCTGATTTGTGTTGAGGGCTGCGCAGGGTTCAAATAGGCTGCATGAGTAGGCACCACAGTTCTGTAAGTTCCAACCAATCTGATGAAACCCTGGCAGGATGCGTTTTGTTGAACAAATGACAAGGAACAGGAAAAGTCAGGATGTGGATGGCAGATAGATGCTGCAGGCCTGTCAGATGTAATGACCACAGTACCAGCACCGTGCCGGATACTTGTGTGGCTCCATGACTTTGAAGGTTTGATATTGTGGGCACCAGATTGATGTGTGGCCTGCCAGGCAGTTGTGGTGTGGTGATGCCCCGCGGGAAGAGCCGCGCCGCCGAGACCAGGTACATACGTTGCTACTCGCAGTGTCGCACAAGCAGGCGCCAGGAGCAGGCAATCACTTTCCGTACCGAGTACGAGGTACAGTAGGACTCAGTATAAACTTCAGTCATTCTGCAGGGTCTGCCCTACTACGCAAATTACTACCTCCCCTGAACGCTTTGACACAAGTCTGCCGTAGAGCTGTAAGTCATCGAGCGATTTCAGAGAGGCTGGCGCCGCTATCTCTGCGGCCTCTCGTCTCCTCTCACACCAGTCATGGGGCAGCGACGCAAATGTGTAGTGATTGGCGGCCAGATTGCTTGCCCCTCAGCCGCCATCTCGCGCTTGAGGCTCACTGGCGCCAGCCTTACTGCAGGCCTGAGTTCTGGAGCTGAAGTTCGTCCGGATGGGATCCCTTCGCCTTTCTGTCGGCCAACTGCCGCAGTCAAAGACTTCTCATCGATGGTATCGTTGGGAAAATGACTGGCGACCGCGTCGATCAAGGCACGGAGCAGGACACTCTCCAAGGCAACCCCTCCTCTGCAAGATACCTTGTGCCAGGGTGTCGCAAGTTGTCCTTGCAGCTCAACAGTGCCCTAGCGGAGTCGACTGCAACAACGGACGATACATTGGATGCACAGAACAGTGGGAGGACACTTCAAGGTTGGTCGCGCCTCTTGACTTCTCCGCCCACTGCTCATTGGGCGATGTGTTTGCAGGCTCAGTTTCAAGCCACTCCTCTCCTTCAACCGCCTCAACGAGACAATGCAGTCTTGGACATGGCTGCGTCCTCGAGCCGCCACAAGACTTAAAACCTGCTATAAGGACAGACATCGCTTTCGGCGATGGACAGGGCACAGTGGGGTATATCAGCGAGTTTGGAGAACTCATTCAGGTGAGGCGCATGCTGGATTTTGGTCCGAGAGGAGTAATCTACGTTCGTCCCAACTCGGACATCTTCGAATTCGCCCACATCATACAAGGCTCCTGCCCAGGCATCGGGCTACGTCTGAATAACCGATCGGTCTTGCCTGAGAAAAATTTCCGCCCTGTTTCGTACATCCATGACAGGTGGCCGAAGCTCTCATACACCGCAGAGGATATTGAAATCGAAATGGTGTTTGCCGTTGTGGATGGGAAAGTTGTGCATCAATGTGTGCTCTCTAACAGAGGCAGCGCTGAAGCCACGGTAGATCTGGTATTTGACCTGAGTTTTACTCTGGATGACCCGCGAGACTTTTATCAAGATTCCCAATACCGAAGCCCCACGGAGTTCCAGGGAGGGATATCCGTCTCAGGTAATACCTGTATTGTCCTCTGCGGCAATGCTGGCGGTTATGCCAATTTCAGCGCCTCCCTATACACGGACCATGGACATCCAGTGACACTCTTACCTGTCACTTCGAAAGATCTGTTTGAGTCTTGCAGTGAACCAAATCTTGCCCCTTCTCCCGCAAGGCTGAGAGTGGACAAAGAGGACGAGCGAACAAATGCCATTTATCATCTCCTGCCCACCAAGGTTGCCCCGAGTGGGAAACGAGAGCTGACGGCTGTTTATGACTTTAACTATGAACGATGGACAAGAGACCAGGTATATGACTTGAAAATCATGAGGCCACTAAGTGATGAATTCTATGCGTCGCACCGCCGCCATGAGGAATCATTTCTGACAGCCTACGGTAATGCTAAAGCCAACGACGATAGTGAGCAGGCAAACAAGCTCTTACGAGAAGGAGTTCCTGGATACCACGTGGCCCCTGCACGAGAAGATTTACAGCATGGCACATTGGAGGATCTCGTGATGGGAGCAAATCGCCCCAAGGACCAGCAATCACTTTCTCCAGAAGGCGAGGCTCGCGTCATGTTTCAGGTCCCCTTCCACAACCTTGGAGGCGACCCCGTTTACTCTCATCGTCTGTTTGGGATTGAATGGAGGTCGTGCTGGTGGTTCGAGGATCATGTTCCCAGAACCGATGATTTCTCAGACATTCTATGGGGAAACGCGGGCGAAGCATATGAGCAAGAAATGAAGACACTTGTTGCCGACAAGTTTAAAATGTTAAGAGCAGACCCCAAGACTCGACGAGGTGAGCCGCATCGTGAAGCAACTCTTGTCCCTGGATCTGCTAATTCTTGAAGCTTGTGGCTACGTGAATGCCCATGAGTACTTGGGTCACAATTGCCCTGGAAGATGGATCCAGGATCTTCCAGACCAGCGAACCAATTTCCTTTTTCGTCGATACTTGCAGCACATTTTAACAGTGGTACCCATTGGCGTACCTGGGAAAAGAGACGGCGATTGTGCTTACTTCTTCTGTACTGAGGACCTGCGAGATGTGTCCATGCTTCCTTCAGCCACTCTGTAAGGGTCGTTCCTGTCGGTTGTATCGGTTCTAATCCCACTGCACAGGTATCAGTTCCGTTTTCTCGGGTGTATGCATCGGCTTCTTATGAGCCAAGAAGGCATCATTGACGACTTGCTGAAAGCTTCCCTACTCTCAAGCATTGAGAGAATCTGCAAAGGTCATCTAGCGTGGTAAATTTCCGTACTCAAGTAGGAGCATGTCCGTTCGACCTATCTGACACTGGTGCTCAGGTGTTTTGAAGTCGCCCAAAAGACAGAGAGTGGATTGTGGACCGACACTTACAGCGCTTCAGGTGCTAAGAAACTTCCTGAGGACGATCATCTTCACACCGTTACAAACTTCTTGAAACTTTTTGATTTCTATGTGGAGTTTCCGATGGGCCGATATTTTGTTCTGACCACCCTCAAAAACAGACTTCTACCTTGGCTGAAGGCACTTCACGAGACCCGGAACAAAAACTCTGGCCTCTGGGAATCGGGTCGAGAGACTGTACAAGTGTCGTGGTGGGACCCCAGTTACCGAGAGGACGAGCAAGTATCCATCCCCGAGTACGATCTGTGTGAATCTATTCAGTATTGGCAGGCTCTTCATACCGTCTTCAGCATCCTAAACGAAGTTCAGACAGAAAATACTGATTCTCAAACATGTGGCGACGTTGCCATGTGGACTGCGCTACGGTCTATCACAAAGGAGCTTATTGACAGTTTGGAAAGCACGGGTCTCGCGAAAGAGCTAGCCCCTTCTGCTCTTCGGGAGAAGATCTTGGAATGCTTCTCTTTCGAGATTGAGAGGTTTTCTGTTGAGACGACGATCCAATCTGTCGAGTTCAAGAATCACACACCGATTTCCGGTTCGTTGGTGGAAGAAGTGAAACATAACAAGAAGAGACTCCTGGCCATCAAGCGCTGTGCTAAGGAGCGGCCGAGATGGAATTGGTATATATGTCATTTGATTCTCGATGGACCTGGAATGTTGAGCTGATTTCTTTCAGGTATACGGAATCCATGATACTTTGCCCCAAGTTCGACCTCGGTTTCTTTGATACCGATCGTCCTCCATACCGACTTGATGAGTGGTCGAATGCCGTTGAGGCGCAACAGTTTCAACTGGAGGCGTTTTGGAGGAAACCCCTCCGATACAGCTTGGCCCTTATTTTGGCCTCTGACAGCAAGATCTCACTCGATAAATCGAAAGACCCAGCAGCAATGGCTTCTACGTGTATAACTGTTCTGCTGGGGTGTGTCTTGCGCAGCGGACTGATGGCTGAAGAGATAGACCCAAAAGACAAGAAGCCTCAGCGCAGGCACGGGGACCTTCCAAATGCCGGTTTTGGGGTGCCCTATTTCCTATTCAGGGTAATTTATGGAAATCTGATTGCATTCTACCCAAAGCAGATTCCCACTCTCTCCGACGGTTCTAGAGATGGCGTCACCTTCGACGAGAGACTTTGGAAAAAGGCTTACAAAGCCATCCGGTCCAAGACGAAGGCTGGCTTGTACAACATTACAAGTGTTGACAGAGCCAACGTGGTCGACTTGACTGAGGTGTGCGAACCAGAATGGTTGTTTGACCCTCCATGGTACTGTACAATTTCATTGGAGAAGTCCGAGAGACGACTGACACTCACAGGTATTTCGCGAAACAGGAGCGTTTGGCAGACAGGTCGGGCGGGGATTATGGGATACCAGATGACCTCAAAGAAACAGTACGCTCTGGATTGGACAATCTCAGGGACTTGAATCATGGCGAGGACAATTTTCCCTATGCCGTTTTCAACGAAGCTATTGAGTTATATGATCGTGACAGCGACGAATTCTTTCGAGATGCTGACAATGAACGGCTTGGAAGTGTCGTCGACGTGATCAGGGCCGGCAAGCGTCAATCGCGGATTCAAGAATTCATCCCTAACGCCTGGGAGCTTCTTGAGCGCACATCCAGGACTAGGACCAAGAATGACGTGAAGAAAAGGCTGATGTGAGTTGTGAGAAACTGCTTCAAGCCTAGGGATTGACATTGACATCTGACATCCAGATACGTATACGAGTGTGGACCAAGGTTCTCATTAGCGGTACGGCCACCGATCTGCTGCTCACTGAGAGCCATCTCCCTGTTGCTCTACTGACAGCTTAAGCAAGCTCTATCTTTCTGTTCCAGAGAAAGAGCGATACTCAATAGCGACTTTCCTGGCGCGCCACCAGTCACGAGACGTATTTCACCGTGAAGATGTACAGACATTTCCCTGGAGGGTCTGTAAAGCTCATTTCTGACGAGACATCGCAGACGCACAAGTCCATCAATGCCTGGATCACCGAGTTGCACATTGGCTTCTACAGAGTCATTTCTGACTGGTCAGCTCCGACTGATGATGATGATTCCGATGACGAGCAAGATCCACGCAGTCAGTCTATATTCTCGGGAAAGCCATTTCGACTGCCGGGCGACGAGACAAATTGTATCGAGAAATGCGCAATTTCTTTCCGATTTGATGGTGACCTTTATGACCGATACTGGACCTGCTATGCCGCAGTATATCTTCCAGAATGTGACACTGAAGATCGATGGTTTGCCGATGTGAACTCGTTCAATCTAATGAGGCCTACCGGAGAAGGGAATAGAGACACTGAACACAGCCAGCGAAAGATCTTGGAAGCAAGGTGGTTTGAGGGAGCGACCAGGATTGTATGTGAGGAGACACAAAATATTTTGAGGGTCGTTTCCGGTATCCTTGGTGAAGATGTCGGTATCTGTCCGTTGAAATAACCCTGATGTCGAAGCTGACCTGGTCTCAGCGCAATGGACGGTACACTGCCACTGCCTATGACACCTTTCGAGAGACCTTCGAGACGAACAAGACAACCTACTTCCGATATGGCGAAACGGTCAAATTTCTCCGTCACGTTCTTGAGAACCTAGAAGCGGTGCGAAATGTTGCCGACAAGTGGGAAAACCGAGCAAATGCACGCGAAGTTCAGCCTCGTTGGACGCGTGATGATGAAGCTGCGTATGCCCTCGAGATCTCTATTTGGCGTCGCCGAGCCAAAGCGAATGTTCAAAACATGGCTGTTCTGAAGAATCAGGTCGAGGCGAAACTGAATCATATCAAACAACTCCGAGAGTGGCTCATTGACGACTTGCAACTCAAGGAAGCACGAGTGTCGAATCGATCTGCGGACGATGTGCGCATCTTCACCTACGCCACCGTCGTCTTCTTACCTCTCAGTTTCGCGTCAAGCATTTTCAGTATGGGCGGAGCCCCTTCACACAGTACCGCCGTTTCGTTTGTGACTGCTGCGATTATTGCACTGATTGCCACCCTTGCGTTTGTCCTCAACGCTGGAACCTTTATGAGGGAGATTGCAAAATGGAAAATGTGGATTTTTGATCTACCAGATGAGGCTGGTTTTACCGAGCACTCGGAAAGCCAATGGCGAAAAGTTGGACAGAAGTGTAAACACTGGTTTGTGCGTTATCCCTCCGGCCGTGTCCTCGTCGCCTGGAGAGTGGTGGGAATGAAGGATCGCAGAAATATCGCGGGCAAGCTTCTCCTTGGCATACTTCTTCTCCCTCTGTTCGCCTTCACATGGATCTTCGGCTTTGTGGCGCTGAACCTCTACGACCTGATCAAACTCATGTTCCTCGACCTGCCTCAATATCCACGCAACCGCAAAAAGCATCAGGATCAACTCAAAACTGCGAAATCCGACGAGCAACTGTCAGCTACTCAGAAAGCCACCAAGGGCAAGGAGGAAGGAGGCAAGTTTTTGGTCGACGCCTCCAACAAGAAAGAAGCACAGAGACGTGCAGCGGAGAAGGCCAGGGAGAAATGGCGACACGAAAGACTCAAGAATTTTATGCACAAGCCACGCTTGAAGGACATCTCGAAGCATTTGACTGAGGGCATGACGGTTCAAGAGGTCAGGGACGCCCACAGGCAAGATGTCCAGAAAAGGGCGATGGAGCTCGAAGAGCGCAGGCAAAAATACCGTCACGCGATAGAGAATGTCTCTAACTTCAGCGACACCGAAGATGAAGACGAAAAGGCAACTCAATCGCACAGGCGGAATAAGCGTCTGGCCCCAATCTTCTGGAGAAGACGGCAAGAACTTGACGTCGAGGCCGTGGGACATGGAGATTGAGTCCGGCCAACAGTGCAACAGCTGTGTTGGAGACCAAGGTGTCGAATCACTGGTTGAATCCCCTGGATATATAATACTTAATAATATAATGGAGAACTAGTTATGTCGACTCTGGGCCTGCTCTTGCTTCTTTTGCTTTGCGTATTGCTAGTGGCATTCGTGAGACTCTTGGTCCATAACGATATGGATCAACGAGGCTGTCCACACCATCATATAGGCCGCTTTCCAGCTGTAACAAACCCATGAACCATCACAGTCTGGCCAAACATTTCCACTACACGAGTCCAGAGTGAGTCCAGGTCCACCAGGGGATCGTGATCGCGGCCAGTTTATAAGCCACCATTGATGTTACACGGTCTCACCGAGAAAATCGCCCTCGTCACAGAATCTTCAAGCTCGAGATGCCCCCCAAGTACCATTATCCCCCCTTATCGTTGTGGGCGTATACATGCTTGAGTGCCCCCAGCATTCTAGGTATCATTGTGGTGGTGGTGGTGGTGGTTGTCGCCTAGCGGGAAGGAGCTTGCTTTGTGTTCTCTCCATACAAGCGAATAACTCGTCGGCATTGGATTGCCTTGCCCTGACCTGTACTGTCCTGTTTCGATAGCCTGGCAGCTCCCAATTGCCCGTGTTCGACTGTGAAAAAACGGGCGATTTGGTGCATTTTCCACCTCGGACGCGCAAACCCCTTTATGATCGATCGAGAAAGCTGAGCGAGTTGTGGAACCGTGCTCCAATCATCGAAAGGGGGCGAGCGTGGGGTTATCTTGTTGGAGACAAAGACAAATATCCGTTCCCTGGCCATGAATGTGAATGTGAATGTGAATGTGTCGTGTGCACTTTTGATCGGTTTTTACTTTATTTTTTCCTGGTTCCCGCCCTCTTCTTTACTGCTTTGGTGTCTTTCTCGGTCCGACCTTTGAGCGAATGTCCGGGTGCCGTTGGATAAACCGTGGCAGCCAGTTATGACCGACCAGACCGGACCCTCCGGTCGTCGTGCTCAGGATGCCGGCGAGTTTATTCACCGAGTCGAAGCTGACCGTCTTGCCGCTCTGCGCCTCCAGGTCGGAGATCCACCCCTTCAGCGTGACCTCCTGCGCGTTGGACAGCAGCTGCTGCGGCTCGTGCGACAGCGTGGCCGACCGCGTGCTGCCCTTCAGTCGGCGGCTGAGCGTCGCGTAGTTGACCTCGTTGGCGGTCGCGCACGCGCGGATCGACGGATACTTGCGCGTCTGGTAGTCCGTGATGGCCTGTTGGATTCTGGTCTCGCGAGTCGGGGCCATTTGGATGACGCGTGATTTTTTAATGAGACGGGATTGGGAGAGTGGTGATCGTCGTCGTAGACTGGGTAGGGCACTGGTATTGTCTGGGCCTGTGGACAGGGAGCGCGTTGTTGCATTAGCAGGTGTACCTAGGTACATACAAAGTAGGGACAAGACTTGTGTGGTTGGTTGGTTGGACCAGATCCGCTGAAGATGGAGTTGGGATTAGGCGGGCCGGCCCCTAGGGTTGTTTGCAGGGGACCCACCAGGCAAGTACCGAGTACAATACTCGCTAGGTACCTAGTAAACAACCTTGAAGTCAATTGCGGGATGAACACAACGCCACTTGTGCATGACCACATCTAACCAATATCATTATCCTCAATATCGTCGCAGGCGACAGCCACAAAACGGTCGATTTTACCCCCCCCTAAAACAAAACCCTCTCGACAGATCGACTATTCATCCAGTTTTCATCCGTACCATAAAGATATATCCACCAGTTCCCCCAAAGAACCCGTCCCCTCTCATTCTTGTACGCGCGCACACCATCACATATATCACATCCTCGAAACAGCGACCATGCTGCGGCGCAAACCCACCGCGCTGACTGTCACCAACGAAGACATCGCCGCGTTCGAGGAAGCGTACCTCCGCCGCCTCGCCTACGCGAGGTACCTAAAGACCGGCGAGGATCCCGAAGGTCTGTTCCGCAACGGCGGCGCGGGGCCAAGCATGGGCGTGGGCGTGGACGGGAGGATGACGACGACCACCACCACCGCCGGCGATGCACGCAACATGCGCGGATCTGGCGCCGACGTGGGCCCCGCCGCAGGGGCGCAGGTGGCGATCGATCCGAACGACGAGCTCAAGCCGCTACCTGGGGACAAGGCCAGGATTGTGAGGAGTCGGGAGGAGAGGATCATGGGTGGTGGTGCTGGAGGAGGAGGAGGCGCAGGTGCACGGTGATATACCGATCATGCATAATACACACCACACCACACCACACGCACAAACGTGGAGAGAGCGCGCGTGTTGCGTAACGACAATACCCAACAATCCGCGTCGCATACCCCTTTCGCACGGAGAACAATGCGCCCTTAAATCCTGTCCTGGTAGAGGTAATCCAGGATGGGATGTCGTGCGGAAATACTGGCCGACAACACCTGCACGCCGCATGGAGATTTTCTTTGCGAAAAAAGAATGCAGTGGTTTGGGGGACTCTTCATCAACCAACCGATCCAGCAATCGTCAGAATGGATCACTTGCGACGTAGGTCAGACTCAACATCACGTTACGGAAAGTCCTGTCGTGCCGAAGTATCCTCTACGGGGATCGTCTCCTGCGCACACAGAAGGGGCAGTTTATGTATGGTGTCACTTCCAACCCCCATCATGGTCACCAGGGTGGATGGTATTCGCTTTTCCACGTACGGCTCATCTATCTACATTGCTTTGCAAGCGCCGAATCAAGGAGACGCGAGACCGTTGGAACTCCGCAGGGGTTGGTTCCGGATGGAATAGGATATAATTCGTGTCTCGGATCAATATTGGCCAGAGGAAATGATGGAAAACCATAAAGAATCTCGCCAGAACAGTGTGCTGGGTAGACAAAAGTCCCTCAGAATAGCTTGACACCTTCAGTGGTATTTCCTCCGATCTGTCAAGCAGACCATAAATGTTGCACGGTTTATTCCATGTTCCCCAAATACAAATACAAAGTCGACGGTTATCACTCCTGCTTATCATCCTCTACCCGCGGTTGTTTGGACCCAGCGCCGTCCTGACTTTCCCCGTTTGTGCCCTGCTGCTGAACCTGGCCTTCTTCAGTGATGGTCTCCATCCTATCTGCGTTCCGTCTCTCTTCCTCCTCACGTGCTATACGCTCTCTTTCCAGACGATGCTGTTCTTCTTCCATACTCATTCGCAAAGCCATGGCGAGTTCTGGGTCTGCCGCTGCATCGATACCAAATTCATCGAATCGACCAGCGCCACCGCCAGTCTCAATCCCTTCCATACCACCAGCTCCAGCTCCCATATCTCCACCCATGCTGACGATAGGCGTAGTGATGAGGCTGTCGCTAAGCAAACCCGGTCCCGGTGGGATGACGGCAAGGTAATTTCCTTCTCCCGACGAGCCACCTACGGCTTCCACAAATTTCTCTAGTATTGATTTCGTACTTGATTCAACGGCATCGCCAAAGGCCACAAAATCGACCGAGACGTTGTTCTTCTTGCACTTCTTGGCCAGCTTGATCAATTCCTTTTCTGTGTCGTTCTTGTCCCCGAATTTCGGATCCAGTTCGCTACATATCAAAACGACGATCCGCTGTCGTTGGGATTTGTTTGCTCTGTGATGGAGGGCCAGCATTGCCACGCTGATAGCCGTGCCTAACCTTATGTGGCCCTTAATCTTGGTCTCGTGTAGGCCAGCCAGGACGGCGCCAATGTTGTTCGTGGGGGTTGTAAGGACCTTGGGACCCGTCCCAGCCATGGACATAATGCCGACCGCGGATTCAGGATTTGAGGAGGTCTTTGCGTTGAAAATGAGTGAAACGACTTCGGACTGTGCTGAGAATCGATTGGGTCTGGCGGATAATAAGTAGCTACTCGTATATGACTTCTGGTCCTCACATACAGATAGTCGCCATTTCTGCTGGCCTCGCTATTGTCAACAACGATCATGGTCGCCTCGAGCACCATATTGGCGGTGTTGTGTGAACCGGAACTTCACAATTACGTCAATGATTCCTGGTTGAACTGGGAGTTGACAAAAAAGCCACTTGAGTTTCAGAGTGAGAGTGGACTGTGAGGAACTAGAAGAGGGTGTGGACGGAGGAAGTTGGAATGAAGTGATCTGGAAGCTAGAATCACTCTTGCTGGCGGAACCTGAAGGTTGATGCAGGCACAGACGCAGGCGCAGCCGCCAACGCGTCAAGCAGCAAGAGAGCCGCCCCCACCGCCCCTGCGCAGCCTTGGCGTCCTCCGTGTGGAGTTCTTGAGCTGGACTGCCATCTGCGACTTTATCCTACATTCGCCTACTGCACTAGGAATGGCTACACTTCTGGATTCCGCTCGACCACTGTATTGAGGGAATAACAGTATGAGCTCCTCGTGCGATGATCTCAAAGATTTCAGGTTTCTCAGAGATGCTTTGCCTAGCTCACTAACCCTTCTGTAGGGAAACGAGTCGAAGATCGATAGGGCATGGATGGAGGCGTGGTTGTGACATAGGAGCAGACACTGTTGACGCTCCAGAGCAGCAAGATACAGGAGGGTGATGGATGACAGCCAGTGACGTGGATTTGAGGAAGGCGAAGGGGGGTCCTCTCAGGCGCCAGATGCAGATGCACCGACATACATCAACCATCCTTATACGGGAGGATAGTATAGTGGAAGACAGAGACGCGGCCCTCACCTGACCGAGCTCCTACCAACGTTGATGGTGGACGACGACCTTTTCACTATGCGCCGGGACGATACGGCCTCGCAGGAGAAGCTCCAGGCGGTGGTCGAAGAGCTTAATCCCCATCCTGACATTAAGGAGTGGTAATTAGAGACGGAGCGCTGACTGTGCGAACGAGGTATACTATGTCTGGCACAACCTCTACCGACCCAAGGAGGGAGCCAGACGAGCTGACACAGTGGCCGACGGAGGTCGAGAAGAGGGAGGACAAGATGAGAATGTGTTGAGAGTGGTTTAGCCATTGGGAGCCAAGAGACGCGATAGAGTGCCTCTCGACCATCCTGGCCGAGCAAGGCCTTGAAGTAGAAGACGCACTTATGATACTTGTTTTGAGCCGCAATCTGTCACGATTTATACGTGCAGATAGCCTTGGCGAGACAGACTATGGCCAGCGCTTTCTGCCTGCGTGTTACTTGCAGGCACGACCAACAGTGCGAGATCTGGGGCTTGGTCAGATCTTCAGTCGCTCCGATATCCTCGTAGATTCAATAATAGACGTCTATGAATACATCTGGGACGACCGTCGAGCATTGATTTAGATGGAAGGGTGTAAGCGGGGAAGCGATGATCGCCCCCAGACCCCCACAGAATGTTGCACACATCTTCGCTACTCGTTCTCACTTGACTGCCCCCTTCCATGGCCACCACTGTACCTGATGCAGTGACCGGGTGAGCGATGGCGACAGCGGAGATGCCATACCCTTGAGAGCAGACCTTTCCTCCCATCTGCTCGTTCCACTTCTTCACAGAGTCACAATGTAAGTTCAACCTGGTGTCGAGGCGCGGTGTGGAAATGTATCTCGATCGTCTTCTTTCTCCTCCTCCCCCATTCAATGCCTCTGAGGTCCATGGAGTTTTTTTTTTTTGGCCATCCTTGGTTAAATTCAATATTTGCGCGCGCAGGCCCGTCTTCGCCCTCCTCATCATCTCCAAAGCCGGCTCGCTCATCTATCACCGCACCTTCCCGACCACGACCCCGGGCACCAGCGCCGGCAGCCTAACGGGCCAGAGTCAAGCGCAGACGGTGGGCACGCTGGGACTACCAGGCACCTCGACGCTCACCACGAACGACTACCTCGTGCTGGCCGGCACGTTCCACGGCGTGCACGCAATCACGCGCTCCCTCACCCCCAAGCTCCCCGTGACGTCCTCCTCGGGCACCGCACCGTCAGGGAGGAACTGGACGTACCCAGACCCGACCGTGCCGCCGTCGGGCATCGAGTCCCTCGAATCCTCATTCTTCCGCCTCACGGTCTTCCAGACGCTGAGCGGGACAAAGTTTCTACTCTTCACCGACCCGAGCATGCCCAACACGGACGTTCTCATGAAGGGCATCTACGAGCGGTACGCCGACTACGTGTGCAAGAACCCCTTTTGGCAGATGGAGATGCCTATCAGGATTGAAGCGTGGGACAGGAGTTTGGGCCAATGGTTGACAAGGCGATGAGCGATTTCACAAATACTTCGGCACACGTGCAAGCAGAAGCCACACAACGAAGGTTCAAGAGATGGGTTGGAATATCAGCCGTGTCGCCTATCAAACACAGCCCGTCAATCAAGCAGGAACTGTCTGCGAAAAGCGGCATTATTCCTCCTCGGGCTGGCTTAAGATACATGCTCTGTCATGGAATTTGATTTCCCACCACCGGGGTGTATCCAATGCCTTATGACAGCGCCCGACAGTGTGGAAAGTGGTCTCTAATAAAGGGGATACAATGGGTTGTGGTAGGGCCTGCTAGCCTGAGCGAACGGGCCTTCGCTCGGTAGCGGAGGCACACATTTTTGATCCCTCACACCATGCCCCTAGATACCTTGGGAAGGGAAGGCAAGACTTGAGCGCGCGCGAGAGGGATCTTCAAGCAGTCTCAGGCGTCTCTGCCTCAATGCGATGACGAGCATGAACCGGACTCTGGGAGGGGCAGAATAGAGGCAAGAGCAAAATCACATAGAAAGCCAAGAGAGGATATTTTGCGATTCATAGAATCGTGCAAACCGGCCGTAGACACTCTCGCCTATTGTCATCATCGTCATCAACATCTTTCCAATCCGGTCTACACATGACCTAGAGCAGAGATTACCTGCTCCAAAAAAGGGCTTTCCTTCTGACTTCCGGTCCCTTCTCGTAGATATATCTCCGAGACTGGCACATGTATGCATGCATAGGTATCCATCCTGATCAATCTATCGTAAGACTGCAAGAATTGCAGCATATCTGCCCAGGCAGTCAGTCAATCCCGTCTTATCATCATAAGTCGTTGCCATTGCCCATGTTCAGGGCACCCTGGCCCTTTCTCTCTCTCTCTCAGTTCCTCGCCCAGGAGCTTTCTGCCCATGTGGTGAAACACGCGTGGCCATTGACCATGGTGTTGTCTTCGTTTTGTTTCGCGCGCTGTTATTGTCGCTGATGCCCATTCTACGATTGCTCCTTTGCGCGTGGTAAGTGATCGATCACCCTCTCCACTATGGAGCACATGCAGAACCCTTTCCTGCGCACCCGTCCAAGCTGAGCCTGGGGAAGTTGGGCACATGCGGATACGGGAATGTGCGCGGGCACAGGATCGAAGGCGAGTCTGCGCGAACCAAGCAGTATCCCCAGGCTGTCCTTCAAAGTTTGTGGCCTGCTGGGGATACTATCATTGTGTGAACGCGCCCTTGCTGTAATGGTGAGGCACCATGCAGATCAACCTTCGCGTTCTTGTGATTGATAGTTCATAAACCAACTAGAGGCAAAAGAACCCAAAATACTAATGAGTGTAATCCCACCTCCTCTTCAACCTGCCTGCATCAATCACATTAGCAACACTCTGCTGCCACTGTTGAGGGGTCACGAGCATAGCCGCGCCTCCCACTCCGGTTGTAGCGTACGCGGTTCCGGCGGACATGGGCAGCTGGGAGTCTGACACCATTTGCGGTGACGCATTCTGATATGACTGCGACTGCTGTGCGGCAAAGTAGTGTTGTTGGGGCTGTTGCTGCTGAGGGGTATAGCTCGGCAGCGAAGCCGCTCCGTAGGTGGGGGAGCTGGTCGAGGTAAAGCTCGCTTGCATGGATTGCATGTTCCCTGGAGGGGATGCACCGCTGCCCCCGTACAGGGACGGTGGAGGAGCAAGCGCCGACGCGGGAATAGCGAACGCCGTGTCAAATTGGTCAATGATCGGGGTCGGATTCCACTGAATTTCGGTCGCCGACGTCGGCTGCTGGTAGTAACCACCCGCGGAACTTGGGATGCTTGAAAAGGGTGTCTGTTCCAGTTCGTAGTTCTGGCCATACAAGGGTGTCGGAGGTTTGGAATCAGCGGCATAAACCGAAATAGGCGGCGTGGAGAGGTATGGGGTCTGTCGTGTCATCTGGCTTAGATGTTGTGCCCCGTACGGACCAGGCTGTGCTTGCTGCTGTTGCGACTGTTGAAGGTCGACAAGTTTCTGACCCTGTGACTGCAGCGGTAGCTGATGTCGATCGTACGACGGTGGAGAAATAGGAGACGGGCGAGAATTCTCAGACGGTGTTCCATGAGGAAACGACTCCTTGAGTTCAAAGGGCTTGTTGACGTCGGCTGAAAATGCGGCTCGAAGAGCATTGATCTGAGCCTCTGTTTCTGGCATTGGCCAGGCAGAGATACACCGCTCAAGGATCCTCATTTGTCGTACAAAGTAGTCCTTTGCTTCAAAGTTGAACTCTGGATCCGGGGAGGAAAGCGCAACCAGGTGAATCATGATACAGGTTAGGATGGCATAGATGGTGAAATTGATCCCCCTTTGCATCACCAACAACCCCGTCAAATCGAAGTTGGCTAGAATTCCTTCCTGTAGTCGACAAAGGATCTTGGCCGAGTTGTAGCAGACACTCATATGGTGTCGCCACTGACTATCAGCAGCAAACGACTGAGACGCTGACAGCTGTGGCCGATGGAGCATCACGATGGCCAGATGATAATGAGAGTGCATGTTTCCCAGAAAATGGGAAGTCACGTTAGGCGTCTCGCCTGTCGGTGGAAGTGGCAGTTGTAAGTCCGGTGGAAGCTCATCGGGCCATTTCTGAAAGGAAGCGTTATATGCCACGAATTCTTTGTCCAGAGCCCAATCCTTCTTCCGTTGCAGTCTGCGGTGGACGTCCGTGATGAGACGAATGTTGCGGACGTTGCGAACGAAGTATGCAAACTGTCTCGAAATTGTCCGTTCGTAGTCGTCCATTTCAGAGCCCGGCGGGCTTTCGCTAATATCAATAGAATTCGGGTCTACACCGAAATCGGTTCGTCCTGGATATATGTCAGTCAACACAGTCACTCTACGGCAAGAAGAGCAATATTCACCTTGCGGACCTCCTACCATGGTCTCGCAAACCAGAAGTGTCTGCCAGATTCGAGTCTTTGTCAGGCACTCAGTCGGGTCGGAACCACATGACTCCCCCGAGGAATGGATTTCATAGTGTAGATGTAATTCGAGATCTTTTGCCATCGTGATTGCCGTTTTACAAGTCATCCATGAACGATAGTAGTAACCTCTTTTGGGGGCACTCTCTCGCGCTTTTAGCAAAAGTAACAAGGCCTGAAGATTGCTCAACCGTGGACTGTCCAGAAAGAACGGTTCGTGTTCTCCCGCTTGTTAGCAGCGCACAGCCAAAAGGGTGTATCGTACTTACTATTGGCCAAAGCAAGCCACTGTGCGCCTTGCGCTGGATCATCTGACAGGCGACCAGCATTGGCAAAAACGGCTTCCAGGATAAGAGGTGAGATGGATGACTGGTCATTGTGCCACTGATTGTAGAATTGTTGTCTGTTCAGCACTGGCAAGTATGGGTGGACGTTGTTGAAATACGTCTCAAAGGCTTGCATCGCGTCCTCGTGCGACGGCATCAGGGCCGGAGGGATCCTGATTTGAGAGCCTGCATCGGTGCTAAAGGCAGCAGCAATTCGTGGTTCAGGTTCAGGTTCCTGAATGGGGAGGTCCAGTTCTTTGCTGCTTTTTTCTGATCGAATATAGGGAGCGACTCCGCTTTCACCAATCTTGAGCTGCCCAAGGTGTTCCATGAGATCTTCGGCAGTGAATTGGTCGATCGGGGAAGACCCAGCGCGCTCTTGCCTGAAAGGTGTCTCGTCATATTGGGTCTGCGCATACGTTTGAGAAGCATTCTGGAAGGTGTCGTGTAGCGTCCCGGAGATTTGATGGGAGTCGGGGTAAAAGCTGTCGTAGGTCTTTTCGTTGGCTTGAAACAACGGCTTCTGGTGATTGGTCACGTATGCATCGTATGAGTATGGGTTTCCTTGGTTGAGTTGGAAGGCTGGGGCTGAGGGCGCATAGCTCTGGACTTGTTGTTGGCCAGGTGCGACTAATGCGGCTGAGTATGAAGGCGGTCCGCCCGTCTCTTCGGCAGCACTCCCCGGCCCAATATCTCCTGAATCACCGTCCAATCCTCCCGCCGGAGGGATGCATTGAAGTTTCAGCCGAACACAGGCGGCGCAAGGCCATGTGTTGGTTGTGGCAGAGTCGCACTTGATCTTCCGTCGACGACATCCTTCACAGGCTCTCATTACCTTGAGTCGCTTATGTCGGTTATGCTCATCGACAAAGACGTAGTTCTTGGGGCCGGGAGGAGGCGCGGATGACAGAGAATAGCTCTGCATAGTGGCATCTCATCCACTCGGACTGACACCACATTGGGTAAGTGCGAGAACGGCGGGTGCCTCGATCGAGGAGTTGTGGCCGTGGTGAGATGGTCCAGTGTCGAATCAATGACTAACTCGTGAATAAGCGGGCAGCCGGATTGCGCGCATATAAGAACGTACGCAAAGGAGAGGGCTGCCGCAAAAGAGGCGCGTGGTGAGGTTGAACGGAGATGGGAAGAGGCCAAAGGGTGAGCGCGTGCTAAATGGGCAGATTTGGATGATGGATGATGGGACTCTTTTTGTGTAGCGCAACCTCGAAACACTTCGACCTCGGCACGTTGGGGCACTTTGAAGCGTTTTGAATGCACAGGTTAGGCAGAGTCGGGTTTGTGGTCAGCCACAAGAACGTTGGCAGAGGCAAAAACTTCACCAAGTTCGAGGCATCAGGCGTGAAGATGCCTGGGCCATGTTCGAGTCTCAAGGCAGGGAGGATGGTTCCGACGGTAGCGGGCGGAGCGCGTTGACAGGACACGGCCCTCTTTGCACATGCGACAAGAACAACGTACGAGGTACAAGACTTGTTCGCCTAAGAAGTCAGCGGCCGTGGAGTGGGTAGGAATGGTGTTCGTATGCCGCCAGTTTGTGGGAACAGCCACAGCCTATTCGCATCCGAGTTCTTGTCCTTGGTTGTGGTCACGAAAATGCCACCGGAAGGGTTGGAGGGCAGATCTACGCCAGGATCTGATCCTATAGGGGCGACGTTTTAAGATACAAAATAAGGAAGGGGAATTGCAGTCCCAAGTTTGGGGAGTGGTCAACCACTATTGCAAGGACGAATGCTCCTGTGTAGTGAATGGTGAGTGGTGAGTGGTGGGCGGTGATACGGAGCGTCAGGGAACGGACGAGGAATCATTGTTGAGCTGCTTACCCAGCCAGCTTTCACCAGCTCTCTCCCTGGTGTCCCTGCTCACCCACCCATCATCTGTTCGCCATTTTGCCTCTGGCCTCCTGTCTTGAGGGGCTGGAGGCGCCGTCAGCCCTAAATGCAACGTCAGGACTGCCGGCTTGACCAAACTCTGTGCCCTCGGGCTCGCCGCCCTACGAGCCTGTGGCCACCGACCAGTGGAGAGTCAGTCTACACGTCTACAAGTCACCGACACTTCGATCATCATCTCTACCTTTCGCTTCGGAGGGTACATGCTATTTGTGCCAGCAATGTCCCACGTTCTCCATCAACAGCACCTCGGGCACCCGGAGGCATTGAACTGCGCACCAGAGTATGGAGATTTTGCGAGAGTTCCACGGCGAATAAGACCACCAGTTTTGTTTCAGAAGAAAAAAGAATAAAAAGAAAAGAAAACTCGCGAAGCAAAACTCTACAAGGAATATGGCTGTGCGGGTGTGCAAGGGGGCACCATCACTGTTACGGCTTGCGCGATACAAGGATGACTGCACATGCCTAAAGCTGCTCCTTAAATTCCTTGATCCCAAGGCTCAGGGGGTTCAGCGTTACGCTACTCCCTGATCCATGATGGACTGGACAGTTATTGTCGCAGATCAGACAGGCTTTCCCCTGGACAGCCTGATGCCACGACTCGAAGACCTAACGTCAGAGACAGCGCCATAGTGGTTTCCATTGTGCAGTAAGGCCTCAAAAATTCCATTCTCTACCAGATGGTGGGTTCTTCCCGAGGCGCAAACAATGGTTTCTTGTCTGCGCCACGATCGGCCGTTTCGAGCTGTTAAGAGCAAGTACTCGGTAAAGATTGTAGATACAGCCCTGCAGCTGGACCTGTTACCAGTAGGTATTCTTCCGGGAGCAAAACATACTCTGTGATGCTATGGTTGCCTGGAGTACCCCATCTGTCTTGCCAGCACAGGCTCGTGGCGTTAAGAGGACAGGATTATCAGAGGACCGCACCACCAGTGCGAGCCGGTCTCTGCACTTAATCAGAGCTCCTAATTGTTTTATAATCGACAGAAAGCCTCGTTGTTTCATCGATCTAACCAGATATACCAACTACCCTCAAGGGCGTAATGCCTGAACTTCCAGCGGAATGTGTGCGAATACGTGTTCTGCACATAATCAAAGCGGGTATATCAGGACACACGACCAGGAAGGCGGACAGCGGCCCGCCGGAAACGCATGTGATGACATTGGACTCGCACTCGTTAAAAGTTATTCACCCCAACTCGCGTGTCTTCCACCATGAAAAATCCTGCTCTTTGCCACTGAGGCGAAAAGTGCTGACGGCCGAAAGAAGTAAGGTTCCAGAAGCACTTGAGACAATGCCGATCGAAGGCGAGGATGTGGTGGATCACAAGCGGGGAGTGCATCAGCTGTGCAGGGCCCAGAGAACGAAAAGCTATTCGCTTTTGGAGGGCAGCAGACGTCAATATGACACCTGGAAGTTTGGACACGGGTCATGATCTCATCTTCTAGCCCGTGGGCTGTGCGAAGGGAACCTGCGGCAAAGATACCTGTAGATACTGAGTGCTTCAGTTCAAGGCGTATTCTTCGGTGGACAGGCCACAGAATGAATGATCGACACTGTCCCACAATGTGCTGGTGAAGGCGTGCTCCGCAGCTGACTAACCAAATTCCAGACAATAATCGAAGATCAACTGCCAAGATTTGACCACGTGACTGTTCTTTCCAACACTTCCAGAAGATGTCTTCGCCTCTTTTCAATTTCAGGCGCAAAATCCATCTCCCGACCACTGCGACACGATCCACGCGCACTCGTAACCTATTTCTCTCCGTTTCAAGTCGGATAGCCTTCCTTTGAGAAATCACCCTAGCCAAAATCCGCGCCATGGAAGACGGAAAGAATGCGAATCCCCTGGTTCTCAACCCTTCAGATCTTCCGACCCGAAAGCGGCGCGCATTAGCAAGGGACGACCATACCTTCGGTAACTCTACCTTTGCGTATCCCGCGCCGTCGTTCGCTGTCGACCCTTTCACACGTTCCGCTAGTCCGTCATTCATCGAGGCAAGCGACAGCGATGCAGAAGAAGAGCCTATTGATACCCAGGAGATCTATGACCTGATAGCCACCATGTCTGATCCTGAACATCCCATTACGCTCGGCTCCCTGGCCGTCGTGTCATTGCCCGATATTTCCATCAGACCTACCATTCCCAATCGGCCAAACTCGAATCTCCAAACAGTCACGGTCTTGATCACTCCCACAATCCAGCATTGCAGTTTGGCCACTGTGATAGGACTGGGAGTGCGGGTCCGGCTGGAAGAGTCCCTTCCTCCTAGATTTAGGGTTGATGTCAGGATCAAAGAGGGTACCCATTCAACGGCGGATGAAGTCAATAAACAATTAGCAGACAAGGAGAGAGTTGCTGCAGCTCTGTGGAACCCTACCCTCCAGAGTTTTATTAAGAAAATGTTGGAGACATGCGAATGATTAAGGTATTCCCGACAGCGAATGGGGATTGGGAGACACGCCGCTTGTTACACGAGATTACTGGTATCATAAACACCACAAAGGCCCAGCCGACAGAACAGAACTTAAAGAAGCGGAAGGCCATCGGCAAGACTGGCCTCTGAAGCGACAATATTCAGATACCTGACTTCTACAGCCTTTCACGTGATCGTCTTTTGAGCACAGATCTTGGGCTGAAACGTGCATCTACGAGTCTTACTACTCGTAGATGATGCCAAGTCCGGTCCCTCGAGATTGAAGATGCGAGATCAGGCCACGCATTTGTCATGATCGTTACTCAGACAGTTGGAGCGTCCACTCTGGCCAAAAGCCCTCATAAAGAATCAGAAGCTGGTCGGCGTATACGGAAAGAGTGATGGTCCGCTGCTGACGACGCATACACATGTTTGAGCGCGCAGCCTCGGAGCGGGCTCCATGGCGGTAAGCGGCTACCCTACATGGGAGCAAGTCTACTCGTGCACCGAAGGCAAAGTGCACACTCAGCATTGGCAGATATGTCACAAATACTTATAGATCATGTGTCAGGATCCCAAGGCTCATGGAGGCGAGTTTGGGTCTGGGCAGATGGCATTGTGCAGCAAGCACATCGAGGTTAACGAGCATCCGAAGATCCCAAAGTTCCGCTGAAGCTGCTTGGCTACATTACTGCCAAGCTGAACCATTTCATGACCAATTCGATTTAGGAAAGGCATGTACCGGGTAACGATACGGAGTATTCACAGTACAATACCAGTAATTCTCCAGGAACCAGAGAACCTTTGTTGCTATACCTACATACTCGCATGTTTTATTGGCACCTGTTAATTCTGAAGCTCCCTCCTCAGGATTGTTGTAAAGATGTGGTCAATCCAATTCTATAGCCTTCTTCGCAATGAGGGTCAAACGACCACATGAAGAACTGCGCTGGTGAACTCCATACAATATACTAATAACGAGAAGCATGTTGGCACCTCTTTGTCAACGTTATGTGACTCTGCAGGCATCTCAACATACGGTCGACGTAAGTGCTTGAGAGTCGTAGCTTCTGCAGACGGGATGCGTTGCGGTTTTCATTTCAACTCGGCTGCGCTGGCCCTTCGAACTTAAACTACCATCAAGCAACTTGGACGGTCTCCCTCCTTTTGTCCGATCCTCTGTCAATCAAATCTCGGGTCGAGTTAACTGTGACATTAGTACGGCCTTGGAGGACCTGGCTCCGCGGATACATCTGAGCAAGTGAGTGGCGATAATTCATCCACAAACCTCTCTGCGTGCTAATGCCAATGTAGTCCTTTGCTGTGGCTTCAGACAACGTTCAGCCTCATTGTATCGACACATCGTGTCAACCTTCCACAAGCTGCTCGCCACAGCACCGCCTTGACCATCAGCAGATGTATGGAGGCGACGGATTCAATGGACTTCAAACACTTGTAAGTGTCTATGCCTCGCAGCGCATTAGACTCAACTAGTCCGACGTATTGACAGTTCCCTCTTTTCGATCTGAGCTCACTCGACCCATGCCTTCGTCAATTGGTCTGCGTCAAATGAGTTCCGGACTCCAAGTCGAGAGGAAGTGGATCAGTGAAGCTAGGAAGCTGGAACCATGAGCGTAAGAGAACCGTTATGTCAAGAAGTAAACCACCTCGAAGGCTCAGGAGGAATAGATATGCGTGGGAAAACAGCGGCGCGGCGCGTTTTGAGGACAGCCATGAGATGTATCGGAACGCTGCATTCGATTCATGCAAGGTATCTGCAATTCAGGACTCCATAGATGTTCTACCACCGTGAACCTTGCTTTTGTCACATAGTATTGACCCTGTCCAGGACGGTTCTCGCGCACAAGACCATACATTGCGAGGTGTCGACGACGAGCAGTTCCAGGTGTGGCCACGACGAAGATACAGAAGGTAGCAGTCCTGCTCTGCGCAGCTGGCCTCCATAGCCTGGACGGGTTGCTGAACCGCACTCATACCCATCCATGTCTTGCTTTCCTTCTGTGGCAGTGGCAGACGGGATCAAGGGGCACCCGGGAAAAGCAACTATCGCTGATGGGTCTGCAACGTCAAGTTGAAGTTACACTGCGGCAGGAGGATGGAGTACGCGAAATGGCCCTGCTCGTGAAGAAATGGGGGAATCTCAGTGGCGGGAACGATCCCAGCAGTGGTGGAGAGGTGCCAGGATCAGGCACTGATCCGCAGGCTAGTCGTGTGAACTGCTCTCTCCTACTCGTACTCGTAGGTAAGTGACGCTTCAGGATGCAATCAACACAAGCAGTGGTCAATCTCCACAACAACATCAGTACGAATGTTGTTTTTCTACTGAAAGAATAGTTCCTTCTTTCAGTGACGGTGGCAGATCCGAGCACTTGAGAACCTTACAATGGGTAAACTTCTCAGCTGGCACATGGTAACCCTTGCGATTGCTAGGGCGAAATCGCTTTGTCTTTGCGGGATACGGGTCGAACCGAACAGTTTGCTGGTTCAAGATGTACAATTATGTACTTGCGCACACTGGTTGAACACTCCTGGTAATACCATGTTTGTCTTGCCATATACGACCTATTCACCATTGCTTGAAGACGACTACTCCCGCGGCCGCAGTCATCCTGGTGCTCTCGTTTCAGGAACGTCATATGTTAGTTTACAAATCCGTCGGCTTCATGTACTCAGATGGCGAAGGATAGATCCTGTCTCTTGCATCCTCGATGGTTTGCAACATAGTCCGATCTAAACACCGACGTTGTCTTCGGTTTTGACCAGAGCCGTCAATGTGCTCCATCTATCCACAGCCCTTTTCGTCACCTAAAATTAATACAGTGAGATTTCAAAGAACATAGAAGATCCCGAGACCACCAACTCCTATCATAAGCTCTACCTAATAGGTACTTACCTACACAGGCAAGTCTGGTGATGTACTGAATGTGTTGTTGTCGAAATGTCATGTAACAATGAATATTGTGTATGCGAAATTACGGGCCATCTCCACCTAGCGAGACGCCACTCCCAATCGGGCATGAGCTTGATCGGCGCAGGTCCAGGCCTCGTCGGCCAGTCACTCGCAGCCTTTGACTGCACGTGGGGGAATGCAGCATCTCGATTGGTAGACAAAACTTAAAAACCACCTCGCGACCTCAACCACAAATTCAACGCGCCGAGTTTTCCATTCCCCAATTTTATTTTCGTTCCCTTGTAAGCGATCACACGGTTGCTCTTAGTTCTGATGCTTGGTTCGAAGAAGATTTCCATGAAAAAGACCGCGCGGATGGCAAACGGCGCCGCCGCTCATATGCCGGGCTGGAGGAAAGGCATACCGAGAACAAAGCAAGCGGGAGCCAACGACTCCCAGATGCCATGGGGGCCATCCAGAGGGCTGTACGAGGTATCCTCGTCCTAGTAACTGCAGCCGCATGTTTGATGCAAGCGGCACGAGTTAGCGCGGGCGGTGATCAAGGCGTCCATGCTCCCTGCTCAGATCAACCTCACCTCCACCGAACTGTTCTGCGGAATCACCGATCTCATGGAGCTTGTAATCGTCTGAGACTCGATCTCACTCGATCTCGTGGCAGCCATTGTCGAGGATGAGAGGGAGAGAGAGACGTGACATTCCGGCTTTCATCTACGTTTTCATATGTAGTCTTGGTAATACTTGTTTTGTAGATACTGATGAAAGTTTCCATGACATAAAAGCGACTCTTGGCAGAAGGCGTAACTCAAAGTTTGTCGCGTGTGTCAAGCACAAAGTCTGCCTTTTTATCTCCGTCATTTTGACTTGCCGAATACTTGTCGTGCCTGCCTCGTAGCGGCAAATGTCAAGTTTTTTTTTTCTTTTCTTCGCCTTCGTATTTTCGCCTGACGCCGCTCATCAATCTCCAGACACATCATTCATCCACTCCATACACACACCATACACGATGATTCCTTCTTCGACTCCTCCCTGTCCCGCTTATGATGACCCTTGTCGGCAACGCGCCCATTGCTCACTGATGAGCATTCTCCATCTGGATATCGCTCCACCTACGACCCTAGCCAGCCTCCCACCTCCCACCTCCCACGGTCCCTCCCACGGTAGCCATCGACTTGACCCTCTTATCGTGCAGCTCGGGTTAAACCCAACAAGTCACATCATCCGCCTGCAGCACTCGGCCCCCCTCTTCTAATCTCATCCATGACCCTTACCTCCCCCCAATACCAATAACAACGGCACGCTGTCACGCCCCTCGTGTACCTTTTCTGTCGCTTGTGGACGAATGAATTGACCTGTTTGCTACTCGTGGCTCTCTCCCGCCTGTTTTTGGTATGCTTCGCCCGTTGCCAGCTCCCATGGAAGGCCTCTTCAGTGGATAATACCTCCCCTGCAAGCCATCCGTCACTTCCGTGCGACAAGCCTTTTTATACTATGGCCTGGGTCCTTTGACCTGTTGCTTAGCCCATGTCCGTCGACTCTCAAGCTTTGGCCAATTGACGAGCTGCCTTGGCTGTCGTCAAGATCGTTTCTTATTTTTCGGGTGCGAGTCTCCGCTTTCCTACACAAATTTCTTGTGCGCTCCATTTTTCCCATAAAAAAGCCGGTACCCTTTTCTTGAACTTTACTTCCACTCTGTCAACCTCGACTCATCAACATCTTTTACCACAACCTCCGCCCCCCCCTCAGCCTTGTGTCTCCTGTATTCCATCCTTGGTATATCCCATTAATTGATACACCATGGCTGGCAACGGAGAGGACGAGGTCACGCGATATGGGCCCAATCCCCCGCATGGTCCCGATGTTTCGGGTACTCACGCCCCCTTTGAGGATCCTCATCTGGACATGACCACAAATGAGAAGGACGTCTTCCGATACCTCCTGAAGCCCGACGACCTGTACGACGAGAATGGCGTCTACTGGGCTGACCTCCCCATCATCAAGCGAGTCAAGTTCGTCTCCAAGGTTGACCGAGAAGAGACCAGGAGAGAGTTCTCCGCCTTCTGGGAAATCTTCAAGAAGGACCCTCTAGCGCCCGTCGGTTTCTACTTCCGCAACATGGTTCTCCCCGGTGCCGGTCTCGGTCTGGAAGGTTACGTGCTCTTCTCCATTGGCAACATCAAGCCGCTCTTCCAAGGCGCATTCCCCGATTGCTGGAAATCCAACAAGATCTGCAGCAAGACGTGGATCAACGCTGTTGACTACCTTGAAATCTGCGGTATCATCTGTGGTCAAATCCTCGTCGGTGTCATCGGTGACTGGATCGGCCGTCGCTGGGGTCTGATCCAGGATGCCACAATCATGTTCATCGGTCTCATCATGCTGGTCTGCGCCTGGGGTGTCACCCAAAACGGCTGGGTCATCTGCTACGCCTGGTCGCTCTTCTTCTATGGCATTGGTGTCGGAGGTGAATATCCCATGACTGCCACCTCTGGTATGGAGAACGCTGTCGGTTCCGGCAAAGTGTCGACCCGTGAGGATCGTCTGCACAGAGGTCGCAAGGTTGTCAGCGCCTTCTTGATGCAAGGTTGGGGTCAATTCTTCAACCAGGTCATCCTCATCATCTTGCTCTTGGTCTTCCACCACGGTAGCGGCAACGCCCCGTACTCCAAGGTCGCTGCCCAGTATACCTACCGTGTCTCCTTTGCCATTCCCGCCGTCGGTACCGCTTGGCTGATCTACTTCCGTACCTTCAAAGTCAAGGCCAGCGCCAACAGACAGCTGAGAATTGCCAAGAAGAAGAACGCCGTCACCGGTTACGACGTTGAATCCCTCAAGTTGACCTTTTACTACTTTGGCGGTCGTGTCATCGCCACTGCTGGCACGTGGTACATGAACGACGTGTTTTTCTATGGCAACAAGTTGTTCCAGAGCGAGTTCATCAGTGTCATCATGCCTGAGACGAAATCCATCATGCCCGGTTGGCTGTACAACCTGATCAACGTTGGTGTGTCGCTATGCGGTTACTACCTGGCCAGTTTCTTGGTTGACAACAAGCTCTATGGCCGCAAGCACATGCAATCACTCGGCTTCTTGATGGACTTTATCTTCTTCATCATTCCCGGCACCCAGCTTAGCTACTACACCTCTCGCGACCACATCAAGGAATTCCAGACCATGTACTTCCTGTCGTCGTTCTTCCAGCAATTTGGTCCCAATTGTGTCACCTTCCTTGCGGCCGCCGAAGTCTACCCTGTCGCCGTCCGTGCTACGGCCCACGGTTTCTCCGCTGCTGTCGGTAAGTTGGGCGCTCTGACTGCCGCCGTCGGCTACAGCTACTGGTCCACCCAGACCAAGTTCTGGGTTGTCCCGTGGTTTGGTCTTGCTGGTGTCATCATCAACGTTCTTTTCATGCCCGACACGACCGGCCTCGATCTCAAGGAACAAGAACGTCGGTGGGCCTACATCCGCGCCGGTCGCGAGAAGGACTACCATGGTATCGCCATCCACCCCAAGCACTTGAGCTTGTGGGAGCGCCTCCGTGGAGTCGGCAAGCCGTATGACCCTGAGCTTGACTTCAAGCAGCGGATTGAGGAGATGCGTGGCGAGTGGGAAGCCCGCATGCAAGCCAGAGCCGAGGAGAAGGAGGCCGACGACCTTGCCCAAGCTGAGGATGATGATGACTTCCACTCTGAGGTTTCGTCTTACTTCAAGCGGTCCACCAAGTCACCCAACCTAAAGGGAATGGAGAATGAGAAGATCCCTGAGGACCGGGAATTGAACGGCCAGAATGGTATTTAAACTCGGTTTTTGTTTCGGACAAACGGAAATAGGAGATACGAGACGCACTGCAAGGAGAGAAGGGATCGTACGAGGTGGACGATGTGGGACCCTGTTACAACAAAGTCGATTCTCTTTGTACCTTTGGAAGTGGCAACAAAAGCGGGATAGACCTTCTTTGCGAAAGAACAAGTGTCTGTGCGTGTGGATCATGTACCGGCAGCAAAGGACCGTTGCTTTTGAGAGTGAGAGAGAGAGATTCCTCCCCATGACCCAACAACCTAAACGACCCCCCCGACTACGCCCACTCGTAATTTTGGTGACACTCCATTCTATTTTTCCTTTTTCCTTACCTGGTGAATACCGCGGCTCACCGCTTGCGATATATATATATATATATATACACTGCAACTGTTACTGCTACTGCTACGAGGAAGTATTGATAATGCCAAAAGATGGAACATGACGATATGCTTCGTTCTTGTTTGGATGTGAATGTGACAATGGATATGAATAGGAATATAATATGAAGACGAATACGAATATGGATGAATCGAATCGCGCGTCTCTGCTGCGAAATGAGTGCGAGGACTCGGTAGAGCAGGGGGACAGAGCCAGTGAGCTGGCCAGACAGCCAGACAGAGAACAACGCAACACACCTCTACAGACAAGTTCCGGGTAGTGTGATCGGAGCACAGGACCGAGGACCGCCTGCCGGGTTTTGGATACGTACATACCGAATACATTACCTCTGATTCCCTCTGTCCCGACTGCCGAGTTAGTTAGCTAGGTACTTATCTTGTCGTTCCCCCTTGCCACTCCAGTCCAGTCCACACCAAGACAATACACTACTTTGTACCTTGTACACTATATGTACTACTATTAGTGCCTTCGTATTAGATCCAGTCCATATTAGACGAAACCAGATCGGATCACTCCCGAGGTTCCTGCCTGCTCATTCGCTTGTTCGTTTTTTTCGCTCTCGCCAATCTCCTCTTTCTTTCTTACGAGTGGTATATGTATCATATATACCCCGAACTATGATTTATCCTTTATCATATTCGTTCAGGAAAGGGAGCCAGGCCGCTTTTTATGTACTCGGGCACGTGACGGAGCATTGGGGGATGGAACAAACCGAAGTACAAAGCTAGTAATAATAATAAAAAAAAAAGGGTCCAGTGAGGGCAAATTGTCACACTACTCTTATCTCTAGAAGATATGGTCTGGGTTTGACACGATACCGTAGAAAAGCTGGTTGGCCCACGGACCATAAACAGCCTTGCGCAGGGGCGCCTCGAAGAGGTCGCGAATCTGGTCGAGACTGTAACCGGCATTGATGGCCAACTGCAGCATGACGCGAGCCTGATCACCTCCGACATAACCAGATTTGATCCTACCCAATACATTAGCAACCTGATATAAATGAAAAAAAAAAAAAGCTTGGGAAGGTAAAAATGATGCTCGATCACGGGATTTTGAGCCGCCCAAAAAAAAAAACCAAAAAAAAAAAAAAAAAAAAAAAAACAATTTCTGTTCTCAAGCCACTTACACTGGACCGGGGGTGATTCCTGGAACACCAGCACCGGTGATGGGTCGCGGCGCCGCGACAACGGGTATTCCACGGGCGTACAGGTCGGTGGCGGCTGCTGTTGCCGTAGAGCTGAGCGAGGCGGCGCCGGCACCGAGAATCACCAAGCCCCTAGAGAGAGTCAAGTCAGACCTGGACATACACAACTAGCCAGTCGTCCTGGCGGTCACTGCGACTTACTTGGCACCGTTGGCGACCGCAGCGTACATGAGAGAGGCGTCAAATCCCTCTGTGGCAAGGGGTTAGCACTGAACGTATGAAGCTATTTTTTTTTTCTTCTCTGGCTCAAAATCTTGATGACAACTTACGGTGTCCGTAGAGGGTGATGACACTCGGCAGAACCGTTGTGGTGCTGATGTCGAAATAAGGGCGGCCAGTAGGCAGGGCAGCGTCAAAGTAGTAGTACGGCTGACCGGCCAGGAAGACGCCCACGTTACCCTGCTCAAGCGATTTGAAAGTATCGGGTGTGTTGGCATCCAGCTTGGTCGAGTAGAATATGCTGGTCAAACGGTCGTTCAAGGATATCAGGCCGCCGCGGCCAACGGTGTCGGGAGACACGGCGGCGGCAACTGCTTGGTAGAAGTTGGCACGGCCGTCCGGCGAAACGTACGTGTCGGGACGCATGGCGGCTGTAACGATAAAGGGCTTGTTGCACTGGAACGTCAGGTCCACGCCGAATGCCGTCTCCGCAAGGGTGTTCGTGCCGTGGATCATGACGGCGGCAGTGATGTCAGAGCCTGGCGAGCAGAGCAGCCTGTTTGCGATCTGCGACACGTTCAGGAAAGTGGATGAGTTTATGTTTGAGCTGCCGCCAGGGGATGGTATGCTGATATAAGATAGCTGGGCGACCTGCAACACCTCTGACACGTTTGCAACCAGCTCCGGGAATGTTGGGCCTACACCGCTGCCGTAGTTGATGTTGTCTACACGACTCCAGTTGGATGCTGACATGAGGGTGGCTGAGAGCGGTCCAAAAACACTATAGTTTCGAGTTAGCCCGGGTGGACTTTTGAGCGACTTATATACGAGATGGGCCACTTTGATGATAGCTTTGAGGCCCCGCAAACGGAAGGGAGCTTGCTGAAGACTTACACAACCTTGGGCAACGAGGCATTGCTTGAGATATAGTCAAGGGTCGCTGCGCCGCCATGAGGAGCAGCGAGAGCTCCGGCAGCCAGCCAAACGGCGGCAACGAGACGAGCATACATGATGTACAAAAAGCTCAGGTGGGCGCAAAGTACAAACCAAGCGGGAGAAGCAGAAGAAGCAGACAGAGGAGTAGTCCGAGTTGTAGAGTCGGAGGTGCGTCCGTCGCCCTTAAATATCCACAAAGTCCTGTTATCTTTTCCCTTTGACAAACTATCTATGTACCTCAAGCCGATCGGAGCAGTTATCCCGGCGTGTCGAAGCTATTGAGGACATCCGCACGCGACACGGCATTGGAGACCCGCCTAGGCCAGAAGCGAAGGTGAAGCTTCCCCATCTATAGACACTAGTCTTCTGGTCTTTGTGCTGACTTGGTCCCGAATAGTGGTAAGTCGAAGAGAATGCATCCGCATACTAGGAATCGTAGACACTAAGATCTCCACAGCGATCCAATCCAGTCTGGTGCCTCGACGGGTCCTAACCCGCTAGCTCTGTATGTTTTTTCCCTCTTATCTCTAAGATTCGGGGAAGTCCGCTTTCCTGACGAGAGAGAGAGAGAGAGAGTGATTCAAACATGTAAAAACTAGTAAAAAGGCAATTCTGCTTGCGATGATATACATCGAGCAGAATATTGTAATGGGGAGGTTTGCTGTAGTGGACAGGCGGATAGCGAGACTGGGTGATTGGCCTGGACTAGGCACAGGTCCCCAGGATAGGGTCCTTCCTCTTCTGGCCTAGTATTAGGACAGAATTCTTGGCTAGATAGATTTCTTTTGTATCATGGCTCTCCCTGGCTCTGCTCAGCCTTGAGAGCACAACAGAGCCAGGCTACGTGCTATGTCGTCACTCTCCCCCGGCTAACCTTCCTGTATCCTGCTCTGGCCTGGCGGCCCTCTCTCGCCTGTTCGCAACACTGGGGTTTAGTTAACTTAACCCCGTATAGTAACGTAGTAGGGCATCCTCTCAGGGATTCTACCTTTTATTAGGGCCGAAACGGGCGATTAGAGATATGATTGGGTAAAGTTACCACAAGGCTAGATATCTACAACGTTCGCGCCGATAAGACGAGAGCCCGAACGGGAGCCTCACCGATATACGAGGGAGAACGACAGGAGCGGGCCAGAGCCGTGAGGAGGTATGAAGGAGCAGGGGGAAGTGAAAGGGGGAGCGCAAAAGAGAGGAAGCGAGTGGAAGAGAGCGGACGAGGGAGCGAATGGACTAAACAGTCGTTAGTGGGAGAGCACAGCGGAGGGTGATGAGTCAGCGAAAGAATCGTTGGCGACGACTGTTCGGGGACTATTTATATATATATATATTGCGCGTTTCTCCATTCCAGTTCTGGTTGCTGGTACTGGTCGCGGTTGGATGATATGGGTGCGTCTGTCTTTTTGGGTTCCGCCCCGCCGCCCGCTCGGTGTCCCTGTCCCCCTGTCCTGTCCCGCAGGAAAATTAAACAGGGCAAGACAACGGAAATAGCTTTGGGGACCGAAGCACATACAAATGAGTACGAATGGGTCAGTGCGTTACAGTTCTGGGGCCACTTGTTACGAGTGCCGAACCAGGGACCGTCGTGGGTATCTGATGCAAAGCTCGGACGGTGCACGTACATCTACAACCTCTCACGTCATACGGAATATAGCTCAGGCACACACTGTATGGAACATTCCTGAAAAGAATTCTGCAAAACAAAACGTTGGATTCTTTTATCTAGGCTGTCGTTATCATTGCGTCGTCCACCCTCCCCAGCCTAGCCCCCTCCCCCCATCTACTCCTCTTCAGACACCCATTCCTCCTCCTCCCCCCGCGCTCTCCTCCTCTCAAGGCCACCCACGACCTCCCTCGCAGCATTCAACGTCCCCTGCATCCCCTCCAGCAACCGCATCAACTCCGCCTCAACCTCGTCATTCGAGGCGTTGGCGGACATCGCGGCGGTGCTGGGAGGCGATGCAGGCGGGACGAAGGCCACGAGGGGGCCCTGGGCGCCACCTGCCGGAATGGCCGTTGCATTCGAGGTGACGGACGAGTTTGAGACCCGGTGCATGTTGTGTGCTGCCGGGTGAGAGTGACTTGGGCCCGGAAAGCCGTCCTCGCCAATACGCGCCGGTCGTCCCAAAGCATACGGTGCCGGACGCGGCCCGGACGCCGTCAATGGCGTGGTTGCTCCCGAGGAATACCCGGCGAGCATCGTCCTCCCTCTCCCAGAGTAGAATCCACCCATGTTGACGTCTTCGTCCATCGTAGCAGGACCCGGGTGATCTCGGTCGTCTTCGTCATTGTCCCGCTCAAGCCCGAACGGATCCACGTCCGTCGATGATGCAGAAACATCACTGTATGCTTCAGACAGAGCGGTCGATGGTCGAGGGATCTCCTGTTCTTCAGCTTGAACAAAGTCACCAATCGTCACCGGCATGGTCATTTGGCGCGCTAACGGGGCTGGACGGGTTGGTGTCGGTCTGGAGCCGGGATGAGGCTTCTGATATGTAAGAGCGGTCGTTGGGGGTGACGATCCCAGGGATTCTTCCTCTTCGTAGTCTTCGGTAACTTTGGCTTCAGCCATGGCGGAAGAGAATGACCAATCCATTGTCTTGTGTCTCTTGGTCTTGTCGTCCGGATCGGCTTCTGTCTCGATCTCCTCTTCTGGTGGTCCTGGAATATCATGACCGTTAGTCGGCTCCGGTTCGGGCGCTACATTTATTTGTGGGATCGTCACTGCAGCCTCAGACATTGCGTTTGCGAAGGACCAGTCCATTGTCGCGTGACCGGGTCGGGAAGATGTGATCTCGGCTGGCTCTTGCAGCTCAGGAGCTTTGGTTCTGTTCTTAATAGTCCATTCCTCTTGAGACATTGCAAAATCATGCGCGGATGTACTCGAGGGCGCAACACCTTCTGCGGACGACGCTCTTCGAGCCGTGAGAGATTGGTTATTGGGGTCCCGAGGGCCTTTGGAATTGGCTCGCTTCTCCCGAAGTGTAGATGCATCCGCAAGTCTGATGGTCTCTTCCTTCAATGGCGGTGCAGCATAAGCGGTTTGGATTTTGTCATCAGTTCTTGGTGCAGCGGCAACTGCGTAGTCGGCTTCATCAAAGTCTCCGAGATCAATGACATTGGATGCGATAGAGCTAGGCCGGTCCTCTGCCATGGCTCGGAATGGCAAGTCGGATATCCGCCGTTGTTCGGGGATCGGAATGAAATCTGTCTTGGTCTTGTATTCGTATGCAGGCTTGTCCTGGTCGAAAAGGTTGGAGAGATCCGCTCCTCGTTTGACGCGGGCTTCAAAGTTGGCCTTTTGAGCTGCTGTCATTTCCTTGGGGGGTGAGAGACCTCCGGGTCTGTTCAATCCTTTTGGTGTTTCTTCTCCTGTCATGCTGTCGCTAGGAGAAAAGTCCGAGAAGTCAGGGATCTCCAAGATTGCAGAGACGCGTTTTTCGAAATCTTGAGTCATGCTAAAGTTCCATTCATCATCAGATTCCAAGTCGGCATCCGGACCTTGAGCAGAAGCGGCCGCCGCGCCACCAGGCATGAACAGAGAGATTCTTTGACCCCCACTAAACAGCCAAGCGTAATATGTTTGAACAAGCTCGGTGAGCATACTTGTCGGATGTGTCTCCTCTGTGTCTTTTAGAAAATCATGTTGTAACACGTCCTCCATTGATGGTCGTGTGTTGGCGTCAGGAGTTAATGCGTAGGAGACAAGTGAACGAAGGCCGTCACTGAAATTCTCATTTTCTGGAAGAGAGATGGCCTGCTTCAAGCGCCTCATTCTCATTTTGAGTTGTTGTCGCTCACGGAGATCGCTATTTGGTGGCCGTCCCATGGCACACTCATAGATGGTGCAGCCATATTCCCATACATCGACCTAGCAATTTGTGTCAGTCTTGACGTTCGGTCCAACTGGTATGTGTATGTTTTGGAATGCAGGTACACGCTGGCCATTCTAGCAACTTACTTCGTCTGAATACTCGGGATTCTCTGTCCATAGCTCCGGTGGCATCCAGTGCAGAGTTCCAATGAATGTCTTTCGCTTGTCTGTTTGGGTATCGAGGATTGTGGCAACGCCGAAGTCACACAATTCTAGGCGACCTTCTTGGTGAATAAGAACATTGGCAGCTGGAAGGACCACGACTTAATATTAGAGCCATGTATCAGGAAAGAGGGCTGCGTAGACGAAGAAGAGACTCATGCAAAGCAAAGGGATAAAGCCTACCTTTGACATCTCTGTGCATGATACCTGCTTGATGAAGACCTTTGAGGGCTTTGGCTAATTCCCTTGCGACAATTACAATGTACTTTTCAGAAAGTCTGTCGTTGGTCGCTCGCATCTACAGCTCCATATGTCAGTCAAACAACATACAACTTCAAAAGGCCAAACTCCAAAGGAGGATGTATGGCAGAAGTATAATGCACAATCACTAAAACTTACCAGAGTTTTCACACTGCCGCCAGGACAATATTCACACACCAACCACAGCTGACTGTGCACCGGCAAAGCTTCGATCATTTGGTTGAGGTTTTCTGCTCCACTCTCTTGAGCTTGCCGTAAGATCCTGATTTCCCGGTTGAAGTCTCGGATCTGTTCGTCCTTGTGATCGCCAAAGGCATGAAAATCTGCTTCATCGATGTCGAGAACTTTGATAGCAACGACCTTGGAGGTGGAAAGCTGACGTCTATGAACAAGTCAGAGGAGGGAAGTCGAAGGCTCGAAATCCTAGATTGGCTCACCCTTTGTACACTCTACCGAAGCTACCTTTGCCAATCAACTCATCAAAAACATAATCAGGTTCAGCTTGCTTCGATCTCTTGCACTTCTCCACAACTACGCGCTGTTGTTCCTGGGCAAGCCGAACTGCCTCGCGGCGATGAGCTGTCATACCTGAGGCAGAGTCGGGATGAAGGCTATCCATCGTGAAAGTCGCGCCTGCTCGGCGTCGTTGTTTGAAAGTCTTGGTTCTCTTCAACGGGGTGTTAGACTCATACACTTCTGGAGAAGATTCAAGAATTTCAAGGGTCTTTTTACGGTGTGCAATAACTTCAGCGTCTAATTCCTCCTCTTCGCGTACTCCCGGGCGGGCTCTTGTCGCTTCTTTGAATGACTCTTCTGAAAGGAGACGTCGAAGAACAAACTCACGGGTGAGCGGTGTGTACTCTGGAGATGGAGATTCAAGGGCCTCTTGGCAACCTGCGGAATCGAGAGTCTTCGGCTGCCGATCTTCTGCTTCAGGTTGTGATGGAGTTACCGGGAGTCTAGTCTTGCGGACGCAAAGCGGAGGCGGAGATAGCTCTTCCCAGAGTGCTCTATCTTCGTGTGGCCCAGAATCAGACTTTCTGGCGGGAGTTTGGCTGGTAGGAGCAGGAAGTGGAAGGCCTGCCGGTCGAAGAGGTGATTTCCGGGGAAGGGGAGGAGGCCCTGTAAGATCTTCACCAAGTGGGAGTGGAGACTTGACAGAAAGAAGAGAGGGTCTGGCAGACTCAGAATCACTTGGCGACTGTTTGCTGTGCTTCTGCCACCAGTTGTCTGGCCGGAGAACTCGTCTTGGTGCACGAGAGAGTGAAAGATTGCCGTCCTTCTCGTTGAGTGGTGTTGGGGAAGAGTGCGATGAGAAGCTGGAAGGTGAAAAGGGACTGCTAGAATCCTTTGTTCCGTTTACAAGGGGTGAAGATAAGCTTGAAACGTCGGATGAAGCTGTGACTGCGGACTTGAATGTCTCTGGGAAACGCTTATCTCGAGGGGACGGAGTTGAGTCGCTGAGACGAGCAGGACGATATGGGTATCCACCGGATCGGTAGTCTCTTCGGGAGCCTGCAAAGAAAGGAGACTGTCCAGGTCGAGACTGTTGAGAATGTAGGGTTCTTGTCGATTTGGATGACGGGGGTGAAGCGGAAGATGTCTGAGAGAGGCAACTGTCCTCTTCGACGACGCCGAGGCTGTGCGGAGATGCTGCATTTCGTTAGTATTTTCGCTTAATTCCAGGTCCGGGGACTTGTCTGTCAGATTAACATCATGTTGCTAGGTGGATGACCCGGCGCCGGTGACATCAACGCGCCATGAATGTTCATTTGGCCGACTGGACCACTTACAAAGGGGTTCCGGAGCCTTGTCCTCAAGGGACTTTGTCTTTTTGTCGCCTGGAGACATGGTTGTCAGTAGTTGTCAAGGTTGCATAGCTGGTGAAGGAGAGAAGGACGAGAGCAACAGTGACATGGTGAAGACAGAGTTCTTCCATGTCGGCTCTCTTGCTGTATAATCGTAGACTTACCTGGTCAAGGGGGTTGGCGGAGGGCTTTCTCGTGCAGATTGTTGAAGAGCACCGATATGTACGGCACCGTCCCAAGCCAACACAAGGTTGCGACACCCCGCTATATCCTTCTGATACGGAGGTGGGTTTTCCAATTGATGTCTTACCGCGCCATCGCTATTGGAGATTGGACACAAACGGTGCAAGGCTGTCGTTGTTCAAGTCACCCGGTCTGAAGCCCTTCTCAACCACTCTTGGCTTCAATCTGGACAGAAACACCGTCAGCATCCTTCCGTCGTATACTGTGCCGGTAGCAGCCGCGGTCGGGAAGATATGGCAGCAGTGGTCGCCTCGATACAAAGATGTGCACACTACAACTGGAAACAGCGACTAGCGTGGAAAAGGGGAATGGGCTTGGCGTAGGGACGCTATTCCTATATTATACTAGCGTGCACGGGCCACTCAGCCTCGGTGTGACCTTGACAAGGCTGTGAGGATATTATCGACAAACGAGGCTGCGGTCCCCATGTGACTCTGTTACGTGAATATTGTGAGGCCAGTAACCAAGAAATGGACATATGCTACCCATGATCAGCGCAAGTGGTAGCAGTGATAATTAAAACCCCATCCGCCTTCTTGGGACTATCGGCTTCTTGACCACTCCATTGCTGCCCATCTTCTTAACCACAGGTCCGCTACTTTTGGCCCTCCCAATCAGCAATCGCTCTTTCTCTTCATCGTCCTGCCGTCTCCTTTCCTCCTTTTCTCGGTCCTCGGCCATTTGTCTCTCGATCTCCATCTTCCGGTTGAACTCACTCTCGATGATCCTTTTGTCCTTGGCGCTATACTCCTTTGATTTTAAGCTGTAGAAGACACCACCAAGGTCTGCCAGCCAGTGCGGATCAACAGCCGTGACACAACTCATGTACTCCTTGCTGGTCAAGATAAGTTCGTGGTAGACGACATAGTCGGGTGGATCTCCGAGCCCGTACAGAGCGGAGGTAGGATGGAGCTGGACTGTGACACTAGTGCGCAGATTGATGTACTCTCCGACTCCTCGCCGACGAGCGGCCTGGTGATAATATCCGGAGCAGATGCACTTTCGTATGACATCCCAGTCCGTACCACACGACACGAGCTCCATCTTTTGCTGGCCAACCATAATGTCGTGTAGTTGCTCCCGAATCTCTTTTGCACGACGTAGTGCTTTAGGATGTAAAAAGTGTCGAACGCACCAACCATCACTGTATCCATTACTCTTCCACTGAGTGTACACGTGCAACAGTGTGAGATGATCAGACTCGTGCACGAAGAACTTTTCTCTCGCGGCATCCGACTCCTCCTGCCTCTCTTTCGGCCTATAGAAGACAGACGGCACGGACAGCATACTGACAATGGTAAGCATCTCCTCGCTACAGCCGTATTCGGTAGATGATGTTATCAGCATCTTGGCGAGTGAAGGATCCATCGGGAATGCGGTCATCGTGCGCCCGATAGGTGTCAGGTCGCCAACGTGGTCCAATGCCCCCAGGGCCCATAGATCGAAGAGTGAGGTGGTAATTGTGTCTTGTGGCGGAGGGTCCATAAAGTCAAAATCCAACAAGTCTTTAACACCCAGCGACTTCAGAAGCAAGACCGTATTTGCTAGATTCGTCCGCTGGATCTCAGGGATTGTCTGAATGTACAACTCGTTCTTGAATGCCTGCTCAGTATACAGATGAAATGCTTTGCCTGGTCCAGTGCGACCAGCGCGACCAGCTCGCTGAGAGGCATTGGCTTGCGAGATGGGGGTGATTTGCAGGGTGTCCATTCCCATCTTGGGATTGTAAACCTTTAACTTGGAGAATCCGGAGTCGACAACGTACATGATCCCATCAACTGTCAACGAAGTTTCGGCGATATTGGTGGCAACAATGACTTTACGCACACCGGGCGGGGCAGGATCGAATATCTTTGCTTGGAGATCTGCAGGCATCTGGGAGTATATCGGCAACACCATGATTTCCGGCGGATTAACTAGCAGGCGGAGTCTCTCTTCAATCAACTCACAAGTCACTTCGATGTCCTCTTGGCCTGTCATGAAGACGAGGATATCTCCAGCGCCCTGAGAGACATGGATAGCGAGAACTTGCTTGACGGCACTGTCAACATAGTCTTCACACGGTGAACGTGAGAACTGGATGTCGACAGGAAAGGTGCGGCCAGGAATGATGAATTCGGGTGCTCCTCCATAAAAGCGAGAGAAACGCTCCGAATTCATAGTGGCAGACGTAACGATGAGCTTCAAGTCTCTGCGTCGAGCAAGAACCTTCTTGATCAGACCCATTAGGACGTCGGTATTGAGAGCGCGTTCGTGAGCCTCGTCCATGATGATGCATGAGTATTTGTCTAGATCTCGTTGAGTGAGGGATTCTCTAAGCAGAACGCCATCCGTCATATCTGTACCACGGTCAATATGTCGTCTGGTATAGGAACGGCAGAACTTACACTTGATTACCGTCTCATCGCTTGTGCAGTCCTCAAAACGAATGGCATATCCCACCAATCCACCCAGCTCTACTTCCATCTCCTCACTAACCCGCTTAGCGACACTCATGGCGGCAACTCTTCGAGGCTGTGTACATCCAATCAAGCCGTGTTTACCGTAGCCCTCCTCGTGGAGAAACTGGGTCAGTTGTGTCGTTTTCCCCGAGCCGGTCTGGCCAACGACAATGATGACTTGGTTGTCTCGAATGACCCGCATCAGCTCTTCCCTCACGGCAAAGGCCGGTAGATATTCTCGTTGCTCCCTCAATGTCTTACTCTTGCTAAATGCAGAGCTCCCGGTACTCTTCTTGAGATGAGCAGAAAATTTGCTCTTGCCACTGTCCTCACCGGGTAGCGCAGCAGCACTGTCTCCCTCGTCTTCTCTCACGCCCATTATATTGCCCAAAGCGGTTCCGGCAATATTTGTGGCTTCCTGTGCCTGTTTCTGTCGCTCTTTTTGCTGGCGCTTCTCCCGTACAACCTTGCTGCCCTTGCGACTGAAGACGGCCATGTCACTTTGAGGATCCCGCACTGCTGGCACTGGCTCGATTTGCTTTGTAAAGACAGTCTTTCCGTCCAGAAATGGAGGTTTGAGGTCATGCACCAGTAGATGCACCCGGACAGCATCATCGTCATCAAAATCCTGAACCTGATCGCGCCTTTGCGCAACTCCGGACGTGAGCATTCGATTGGCCTCCCAGGCATCAACCTCCTTCTGTTTCTGCGCCGCCTTAGCTGTCAATCTCTTGCCCAACTTCTTGTCCAACAGCGCCTGCTCGTGCTGCTTGTCTGCCCAAGTAGCATCTGCACCGCCGAAAGGGTTGTGTGTTTCGTCGCCGAAGGTGTGGCCGAACTCATCTCCCGTATACCAGTCGCGGTCCATGGCTGCGGTGTCCTCATCGTTGAAGAAAGGCTCTGGCCCGTCAAACTCTTGTTGGTGCGGCTTCGCATCGTGCAAACGACTCTGGTCTCTGTGGGAGGGCCTTGCAGAGCGGCCTCTGGATGCATATTGAGGCTTTAAGGACGGTCCCAGATCGTCGCTCGAATCGGGATGGGCATGATGGAAACTTCCTGCAAGTTTCCGCCGCTTTGGACTATTACTGCGCTCCATTGTTTGGGAGAAAGAAGTTGTCGGGGATCGTCGGGTAAATCTGGCAGAAGGGAAGCGGGCCAGACATCAATTGACAGAACCTCCCTGAGCCATCTACGGTATGTACACACGGAGGCACCACCAGGCACTTGTCTAGGTGCAGGAAAAAGTTTTGCCGGGGTTTATGCGGAGGGCTTCCACACGACACTAACGCCAATTTATGCACATCGTGACATCCCCGCCTCCGCAACTCTACATGTAAACATTTTGATCACTTGACCTATCGACAGAATGGCGTCAGGGCAGGAAGCAGCCCTCCGGAAGCAGCAAGGTATTTGGAGACCTGATACATCGCAAACACCTACTAAGAGTATACAAGACTTGCAATCGCAGTACACCAACTACAAAAACACCCTTCAGTCGCTTGCGCAGAAGGTAGGCGAAATTGAACAAGAGATTGAGGAACACAAGTCAGTCACATCCATCTTAGCACAAGTCTTGTTTGGGGCGAATATTTCCCAAAGGGGCGATGCAAGATACTGACATTTGGCTTTTGGACAGACTTGTTATGGAGACGCTTCAGCCACTTCCTCAGGACCGCAAGTGCTTCCGCCTGATAAACGGAGTACTTGTTGAGAGAACAGTGAACGACGTACTACCCGCGCTGAAGACCAATTCCGACGGGCTCAAGCAGGTCTTGGAGGAACTACTCAAACAGTACAAAAACAAACAGGATGAGATGGATAAGTGGAAGGCAAGTTTGGTGACTATTGCGTCTCTTGGATTCTCGCTGATGGATGACTACAGAAGAAAAACAACATCCAAGTGGTACAAAACCAGTAAAAGACGTGGACAAGGATGTTTTCGGAGATACGGAGGATACGTTGGCTGTAGACAGAGACACACTACTCACGGATTCAGGCTGCTAAAAAGACCTCTATGCCAGAGTCAACTGAGGATTCCAGTGCATTGGCATCGAGAATATGATGAGGCCAAAATGAGGCGTGGAAGTATTATGATAAACTCAACGACTAGGCGACTGCTGGACGCGGCTTTGACTGCTATCTGAGGCAACTGCGACGCTTTTCATTTATAATTCTTGCCCTTGAACCAACCTGATCGCAAACAAGTCCCGTAAGTACACCTACGACAGCAGCTCTAATCGTCTGGATTCGTCTTATTTTCTTCTATTCTCCACGAGTGCTAACCTGAGCGTCAACCAGTTTCAATCTTGCCTTGCTGTTGCCGCCTTGACAACGAGCCCTCGAGAATGGCGCCTTCCGGAGCCAGCTGGCCCTCATCGAACGGTAACACACAAAAGAACTACCCAAGCGGCAACCACCCTCGTACCACCTTTGCACTCCCCCCGCTGATCAGTCGACCATTGCTTTTCTGCTGTCCAGTGGCAGAGAGTCATTCAGCACACTTGCCTCGAAGCTTCGTCAATCCCGGCCGCCACTTGATGAATCTTCAGCTTCGAACATTCCTCGAGTGTGCTGATGATGCTGAGTACACCTTTCCGAAATGTGAAGTGTCCCACATTGTCGAGGTGACCACCAGAGCCCTTCATAACAATACCCTACCGTCTCATAGTCGGCCCGCAGATCAGCAGCAGTGGAATTCCCGCAGCGGGCTGCACAACACTTCTCTGACGTCCTGCACTCCTCCCCTCGAAACGAGTGAAGATGGCAGAATGGCAATTGACCAAGAAGAGTTGAGTGGTGCTGAGATTCCATACAGTACATATCAGAGCATGTCGACGCGGTACTTTATCTCTCAAAACAGCAGCAAGGCGTGGCAAATTCCACCTCATTCTCGATCTTATCGAGAAACCCACCCCGAGCCGAATCCAAGCAGGGCGGGTGTCGAAAGATATATGGAGATACCACCTTTCAAGACATTGCCATACACTTCAGAAGGGATTTCAGGAGGGGCAGGCGCTCGACCATGGATGCCGTCGTGCTCCGTCTTGATGTGGTGCACTAAACACAATCAATTCTACGAAGTGCACGTACTGTCTTGAGCGCCGCCAAGAAGGATACAGGGATAAATACATATCTAACGAGTGACCGGCTCGGTCTCACCAGTCGAGAAGAAAGAAGAGCTGGTCTTGTGCATGGTTTCGCACATACAGATTCTTTCGCACTGGTACAGGAGGGAGCTGTCTGCGAAAAGAACCACGATCTTGACCACTTGTGGGATTCACATAGCTCGCACAAATATCGGGTCAATACTTATGACGAAATTCAATGCACAGACGTCTTTTGACTCCAAGGCAGATCGCAACTGTGTCTCGGAATGGGGTACTTGTACCTCGCACACAAGTACTAGGTAGTCATTTCTATTTCTGTTTGCGGGCAGCTTGGTCATCCGGTGTGAAACTAGACTACGGACGATCTGATCCCAGTCTTGTCCGGTGCCGCCGCATCTGATATAGCTGCAAGGCTAACAAAATCGCCCTCATTTACTGGATCCTCACAAGTAGGTACCCGCACTATACTACTGTAGGTAGTTGGAGTGGCTGGTTTCCAAAGCATCGGAGAGAGGATACCATCATCCGCCGATGCGCCGATATGTACATTACCGACGCCCCAAGCAGCGCTTGTCTTGCATCTGCTGTGTAGCTCGCGTTGGTGCAGACGCATCTCTACCTCGTACCTCGTACCTACGTACTGCACAAGTACCGAGTACGCCGGCAATGGTAGGAAAGCTGTAAGCTTGAGCATTGATACAGAAGTGCACGATGCGCGTCGGTTTCAACAGAATTCGTTTACGGTGGTGGCATGATGATGAAATTGAGAGTACGAGGTGATCCGGTGCCACCTGCATCGTCTACATACTTTATGTACTCGGTACTCCATACCAACACGGTGTATTACTTGACTACCTAGGTACCACCATCACTTAGGTAAAGCATGGTAAGCTACCGAGGTAACGTTGGGCGCGAAATAGTTCCCTCACTAGTATGGAGGATGGGAGGCTCGAGTACCTGCCCAGGAAAGAGCAGGTGAGGCCCCGGGTCCGCCAAAGGGATTTTGTAGGGGTACCAAGGAAGGTGCCTAAAGTACCCAGACACTGTACGAGATACCCGGAACATACTCGTACTTGGCAGTCCTAACAGCCATCAGTCTCTGCTTGAAACCGCACATTCACCCTCACTCACCACTGCTGTGGCTAGATTTTGAACTCCAAGACTTGCCGGCACTCCACTACAGCTTGCATGCTTGCATCATGCGAACCTTGTCGAACCCAACAGCTCGTGAGACATGGTTAGAAGCCGGCAAGGGAGGTAGCTCCACAACTGAGGCCAGATGGTTCGGGGCTGTCACTGGTGCTCTTTGGCTTCTCCGCGCCACGTTCTGCAGGTTCTGTCCGTGATCAACCCACAACCGCCCAGTTGACTCTCACATCATGTTCCATTGACCAGGGGCCGAAAGTTCATGGGTACCTCTGTACCTCGTATGTAAGTCCAAGCTTCAAACCAGGGAGCAAGGGGGTACATGCATGGCCCCCAAGCAAATCGGGTGCTTCCCAGTGAGTCACTCACCACCCTCTTGGTTCCTTCTCTCACCCTTGATTCCATGTTTCACTTACTGATTGGCAAAGCCAGTCAATCGCATACCCGGCAACGGGTAGAGAGGAACTGAGAATGACCTGAGGAAGCAGCCCAATCTGAGCAACCGCCAGTCCATCCCTGAGCTCGCTGAAGTTCACCTCCTGTCTCAACGACCCTCCTCCTACGAGTTGTCACGATGCCCCCAAGACTGCGTCCTGCGAATGTCCAAGCCGCTACAAGGGACTCCACCTTGAGTGGCCCGTCTGCCCGTCCCATTCCATGCCAGAAGAGTTCGCATCGTCCCAAAAGCCACCAAACACTCATCATCGCTAAAGTACGAGTGGTATTGCGGTCAGGCGATCCGCACCGGCCAACGACAATCATTTCCTTGAGCACACATTCTCGAAGGCCTATCGATTCTGTGTGGATAGCTATCGTCTTGCCGAGTCCATCCGTCCCCTACATTGGCTCGATGAATCCGGCTAACCATCTTGCAGAGGGGCCTTGGTTCGCTTCTTTGGCACCAAAATCCTCCTGTTGGTCCCAATCGACGCCACGCGGCCACTGGCATCGTTGTGCGCCACTCAAACCTCAATCCATGGCCCACGACCCCTCGACCATCCTGGGCATTTCCAACTAGGCGCTTCGAATATCTTGTCTCGCCTGCCTTTCCTTGCGACCTCACCTCCTTGTAAAGCTCCTCGTCGGTCCTAACACTCGTTACTTCCAGATCCGGGTATTTAGGTGGCATTGGAATCTGATCCGTCAGAATTCCAACTTGTAAAATTATTTGTCCTTCAATCTGTTTCCTTGCCTGTCACTCACTCCTTTGAAGGAAATCTGGTACAGCATATCTGGATACAAATGAAACTGTGAATACGTCACAAACTCGCCACTAGATTTCACCAGCTTTTCCTTCAGCAACTTTGGTTTTGAACAGGAAGAATAGCTCCCACGTCTGTTGAAGTACTATAAAGCACCTCAGAGGGACCCCAAGTGTGGTGTCTTCTCCATTTTGGTTTAAGACAGCCTCGAGGATCGGCGGTGCATATCAAGGGAATATTAGCCCCAGAGGAGGATCATCTCGGTGATTACAGACAAAAATTTCTATATCTCGGACCTCTGTGAGCTTCACATTCATATACATTCATGATTTCTTGATGTTTGTCGGGACTAACGCTTCGCAGTCATCGACATGTATTTTATCAACTTGCTATCCGTCTTGATAACCGCCTCGCTGCTCACCACTGCTTCCGCAACGCCAGTGGTCAGGAAATCACTCAATCCCAAATTCCTCAGGACCAGATCACCTCTTAGCAATGCAGCCTTCTCAGAAGACTGGCCTACCAATGTTGTCATGGTCGGAGGATCCCAGACGTATGGCTTCTGGGTTCCCACGGACGGGACCTGGTATGAACTGGGGAACATCGAATGTCTCGGCTTGCCTGCATATGCCATTGGCGACTGCAACGACGTAACCATCGACCAGATTGGCGTAGTGGCGGGATATGGCCCCTGCAGCTTCGTTGGCAACAATGGCTATTCATCCACCCTTGACGGCGATGCCGGCGATGGCTACTATACCGTTGGTCCTCCCCAAAACATCATGGCTGCAGCATGTGGCCCTTCGTCATGATTGCATCAGCCTCCTTGAGCCAGCAAGCCTTCTATAACGACTTCCACGCAGCCATCCCTTGATGCGAAAAACGAAGCACGACAATAGACATTTTGTTCATCAGCTTACTTCGCTTCTTCTCGCTCCGTCCGCCTCCTGCGCGTCTTTGAATAGCCTTTCAGCGTCACCCGCGCGCGTGACCGAGCCAGATTCAACCTCGTCTACCGGAAGGACAGCTTCGCCCACGAACGCCAGGACACCCTCTTCGCCGCACGCATGATTCGACGGCAACGGGAAATGGATGCGCTGGTTTGGGTCCGACTGCGGACGGAACCGACCAGACACAAAAAGTGCTTATGACCAACTATCAGTTTTTTCAGGCCCAGAGCGCCGGGAGACATGAACCAGCGGTACTCGGTACAGCAGCGAGCGGAGCGGAGCGGATTCTTTCTTTCTTTCTTTCTTTCAGCAACCCGAAACCAACAGCCTCCTCAAAACCACCCAAAACTCTTTTGATACCCAGCTGCGAACTGCAAACGAGATAGCTCCGTCCAATACAATGCAATGCAATGAAACAATATCTTGTTCCTTCTATTTCTTCTTCTTCTGATCGTCCTTCTGTTTTTTTCACTCCTCCCCACCTCCTGAACTTGTCCTATTTTTGTCATGTATGTCGTGTCATCTACTCGAATTTATTCCTACCGGAACTGGATACATTGTGGTTAAGAAGGTAAATAGGTAGGTAGGTAGGTAGGTAGGTAGGTAAATAAGATGGTAAAAAGGAAAACAAGGCCGCTGCTCAATCAATGCATTGAATTGCATACGCAGCAAACATGCCCGTGTGTATATGGCTAGTGTAGATGAATATATGTATATATATGTGTAAGATAGCTGTGTCATCATCCTTCCGAGTCTACGTCGTACATGTCCAAAGATTCAAAGACCCACTCCGGACGTCCCTCCCCAGACTCGCCATACACGGCTCGAATTTCGTCCAAGGTGGTCGCGAAGATCAGATTGTCCTCTGCGAGACTCGCGGCGCCGCTCACGGCCAGTTTGTTCTCCATGTCGTCTCCGACGTGGGACTGCAGGGGCTTCCAGACGACAATGCGCGTCCCTTTGGCGGCGTAGTGCTCGATGATCTCTGTCACGGCCTGGATCGCACATCCGTCAATGCTGGTGCAGTGGTGCATGTCGAATATGAGGACGGTTTCTGTGTCCACATGTCGGTGGGGGAATGGGGAACCCGCCCTCTGATGCACAGAGATTGCTTCGTGATCGAGGACCTCCAAGCGATCTTTCAGGTCGCTGGAATTGGCAAATGTCAGATGCCCGACGATGGTGACGATCAGCGTCCGCATCGATGAAAGCGATGCTATGTGTCCCAGGTCGCCATCCTCTAATGCTTGTACTGACGAATCCCGCACTCGCACTTCAGACCGCCAACCTCGGTGCGTCGCCCAAGCCACAATTGACCATGCGAGCCCCAGAGACATTCCCAATGTGATGGAATGGGAGATCGTGGCCCCGAAGACTAGCGCCATAAGTGTCAACTCAGGCCACGCCCTTATCTTTGCAAAGAACAAAATCTCGTGTGGACATTCTTCAATCATCGAGACCCCAACAATGGCGATCATAGCCGCGAGAACCCCTCTTGGAATGTAGTAGAATGCTGGGAGGGCGAAGAAAATGCAGGCCAAGGTAATGGTGCTGAGAAGGACGTTGCTCATCGGAGTCCTTCCGCCTACCGAGTAGTTCAACTTACTTCTGCCGTAACCGCCGAAGCCAGGCAACGCGAGAAAGCACCCACCAACAATGTTGGCAATTCCGAGCGCGATGAGTTCTTGATTGGAGTTCAAAGGCACGTTGGACGCCTTGTTCGCTGCATTCGCCTTTCTTAGGCTTCTGGCCGTCAAAGAAGATTCGAACAAGCCTAATAGAGCAATCACAAAGGCCGTGATGATGAGACTCGAGATGTCGTCAATGTTGTGAAAGGTGAATGGCCAACGGAAAGGTATTCCAAGACTTTCTGGTTTTCGGATCCGCCCGAGCACCTGAAGACCGTGCTCATGCCAGCCACATAGCCAAGTGAGAAACGTCGAGGCGGCAACGACCACAAATCTATCCGGGATGTACGCAGTCACAGGGTAGCGTAACTCCAAGAAGCTCCGAAAATGTCTGGACTCTGTCAGTCAAAGGTCTCAAGGCTTTAAATCGATGGCTCCACTTGCCTTATCACCATGACGATCGTAAAGCTGGTTATAGAGACCGCAGCAGTGAGAAGATGTGTCTGATTGAGGCTGGTCAGGATGAAGAGAAGTTTCCTCGCAGGACTTCCTTCCGACACGGTTGGATCCTCTTTTGCTATTGCCCCAAGACCCAAGCCTGTGATCGTTTGTTGTATCACCACGTTGAGCCCGACAGCGCCGATGAATCCTCGCATAAACGGTCGACTGAGCACAGAGTCCACAAATCCAAGCCGGCTCAGGCCCGTCAGGAACAGCACCGTCCCCGTAACGGCAGTGACGGTGCCGGCTATCTGGGCATTGATGGTCTGATCCTCCTCACCGTCCTTTCCTCGATCTGAAAGCGCGACAACTGTTCCAACAAGAAGAGAGCCTGGCGCTTCCGGTCCGACCACCATCAGGGGACAAGATCCTATTAATGCGTAGAGAAGCGGGGTGATCACAAACGAGTACAGCCCGCTGACAGGGTGAGCGTGCCCGAGGAGGGCAAACGAGATGGACATGGGCACGTAAAGTGAAGCCACCGTCAAGGCGCCCATAAAATCACCGGGAAACCATATCCGTTGGTACTCGGGAATCCATTTCATAAAAGGCAGATAGCGCGACAGACGCGTCCACGTACGTCCCCAATGAGTTTGTCTCTCTGCGTGTGGCATGGCTGTCCGCTCGGACTTTGGCAGCGGAAGCTGGTGGTCTTTCGATGAGGCACTTGTGGTATCGAAGTCGATGTGGCGGTGGCATCTCTTGAGAAGCCGCTGCGTTTCGTTTGGTACCGCTTCTTCCACATCATAGTCGGCCATGCTAACAACACAGCTCACTTGTCTGGGCGAATGTGTGCCGCCATAGGCGGCGACTGAGAGTCAGATGGGAGACAGATATCCAGAAATTGTTGATCTCGTGGTAAGAGTGTTAGGCCAGCTGACTGGTATGGCGACATCTCGTTAGCACCGTTGTTGATTGATCGAAGAGCCCCTCAGCATCCTAAGCTGCGGAAGTTGGGAACCGGTGCCGACGATTGGATCTTGGAGGGGAGGATGGAGAAGCCTGACGCAAAAGTGATTCGCATAGGGGAGGGCGAGATGTGCATGTGTAGTGTCGAGCTAGGAAGACGCCCACGGCACGTCCCTGTCGCGTCTTTGGCCAAACAACAACAAGGAGCCTACATACTGTATCACCGAATCCAGTGGGTGAGTAGAAAGTATCGAGTTCCTTGTGTGGCCTGCGGCCCCCTGCGCTCTTACCCTGCGCCCTCGCCTGCGCATCTCCATCTCAATTAGTCTTGGCGCCGCTCCTCGCCTGGTTCTCAGGCGCTTCCACATTGAACAAGCCTCATCACATAATACCAGAAGCTGGATACCCTTTCTGCCGTGGGGGAGCTGCAGCCACAGGGATGTGGATAGAAACTGTCGTGATATGTGCCTAGGTACCTAGGTAGGGATGTATAATTCCCGATTTAAGCACCTTAATCCAACAATAATACCCCCCCCCCCCCCCAACAAAAGAAAGATCCAGCTTCTCCTGGTCGCTGTTGTGCACAAGTACCCAACTCGGATATACCCAACCTGTATCTATACCCCATTTGCAACAACATCCTACAGTCACAGTTGACGTCCGATGTTGATCCAGGGTAAAGAAAAGGAATTGGTTTCATTGCCCTTTGGCCTTCTTCTCTTCTTCCCTCACAACTTCACCCACTACAATCCGACAAAGCCGTTCCGCTAACTGCTCCACGCTCCACCCCCATCTGATTTCCTGTGCCGCATCTGCTCTCATTTGCCGGCCCTTGTACCATCCATGGCTGTATTCGCATTCCTGCATAAACCTCTCAAGGACCTCACACTCACCATCACCCACAGTCCACACAAACTCGCCGTTAACGAGTCCATTGGCGCTTTCGTCAATTACCATCTCCGTGCCCCTCAGCGCGAGCACTTCAGGACGTATCATCGCGCGAGGGGGAGCGTGGAATTTAGGACGAAGTGATTTTCGGTAGATGATGTGGAGAGTGCGAAAGTGGGTGTTTGAAAAGTCGCCGCTCAGGGCAAGTGGTCTCCTGGTGGAGCGGACAGGGTCAGACGGATAGGACGGTGGGGTGAGGTATGATGGGATGGTTTGAGCCATCGGTTCGATCTTCTCATGAGAGTCGGTCGGTGAAGGAATCGAGGTCTTTGTCTTCTCCCAGCCTGAGTGTTGAGACCGGTCTTTGTCGTCGACGGATGAGCTTGAAGGCACTGAGTGCTTTACGGAGACATGGATTCGGTTATCACTGGGCGAGCCACGAGTTTGTGAGTCGATGCTCTCCGCTTGATTTGATCCCCAGATCCAACTAGGCCGACTCTTGGTGGGATTGGCAATAGAGGGCTCGTCTTTCGCCTTTGTTTCAATGCTCACGGCCGGTCGAGCTTCGATGGCTCCGTCAGAAGAAGTGGGCGGACTGTCGTCGGATTGTCTCGGATTGATTTCCATAGATTGCAGTTCTCGATTCAACTGCAAGTCAACAGAATCCTCGAAAGAGTCGTCAGTTGCAGATCGCATGCTGAAGCTGCTTTCTTGGCCATCAACATCGACTCCGCAGTGCCTCTGGCTAAAGACAACTCTTCTGGCCATGTTCGTGTCGTCAAGCCTCGCAATGCCCAGTGCCTGGTTGAAGCTGTAACGAGAACCTTTCATTGCGGAGCGAGGTGTTGGCGGCCGTACTGGAGAGCTCTCTCTGGCTTCGTCGTGTTCAAGTGGCTGTGCTGTAGCTGGCTCAGATCGCGGAGGAGGCGTCGATATGGACATCGAAGAATCGTTGAAATTGACAGGAATCTTAACAGGTGGTGGAGAAGAATAGGATGTCTCCGATGTTTTGGATAGCTCGTCTGTCGAGTCGAGCGCCACGTCCAGATTGTCAAGCGTTGCTGGTGATTCCGACTCAGATGTAGGACTGGACATACCCAGCGCGACCGGGGCGTCTCCTTCTAGCTCGTCTTCGCCAGTCAAAATCGTATTTGTGCTCTCGAGGTTTTCGTGTTCAGACGCCTTCCCCGTCGGAGTTCCAGCCATGAGCTCTATGTCGAACCTTCCGCTGTTTCTTCTATGTCTCAACTGCTGTCTCTTGATCTCGCCGGCGCCGAACAGGATCTTAGTCTCAGGTTCACGATAAAACATCAAGCCGCTCATGTCCTCTGTACAAGCAGACAAGAACGTGCTCTGTTCTTGCAGAGCACCAACATCCTCGCCCCTCTTCCAGGGACTTGGTATCAGACTTCTCCGAGGTCTGCTGACAACTTCCTGGGCCCGCTGTCGTTGTCTGATTTGCTCCGTGTTGGTAAAGAGACTCTCGGTGTTGGTTGGGACCGCTGAGCCTGGACTTGACGAATTCTTGGCCTCCGCAAGCCAAATGTCTGTCTCATCATCTGCTTCGAGTTCGGGTTCGATAAGAGATCCTCCTGGACTCTCTGCCCTTGGAGTGGGTTGCTCCTCCTCCCCGTCGCTGTCAATCACAATGACTTGGCTCTCGCTAGCATTTTGGATCTGCCTGGACACGGCTTCTCTCTCCAGCTGCCATTCCCGTTCCCTCCTTCCTTGTGTGTCGAGAATGGACCTTTCAGGATACTTCTGTGTGAGGTGTTGCGGCGTATGTACCACAGCTCCTTCGCCACTAGGTACTGTGCTGCAACTCGCCTGGACCGGAGTGTGCCGAACGATGTTTTCGCCTCGCCAGACCTGTGTACGTGAATTCTGCTCAGAATTTCCCAGCTTCTTCGTCTGCAAAACTTTGCTGGACTGTGAGCTTTTATCGTTGAAAGATGCCGATTGTTCCGCCGGACTCGATGCCAGTCTCTTTGCAAGCTCCTCGCCAAAGCGGAGGCCAGCTCTGAGCTCGCGTTGGGTTCCACAATCAAAGCCCACAAATAGAGCTCTATCCTCTTCCAGGCCAGGTTTGCTGGAGGAAGTTTCCTGCTTGACTGCCAATACCCTATCGCGCGAACGATCTGGGGACACTACGTCTTGCAGCGCAATACCAGCAAAGACGGCACCAGCGGAAGCACGGTGCCGATGATGCGGCGTCCTTCGGACATTGGGTCTTGGTGGCGAAGGCAGCTTTGGTGATGAATATGGGAGTGGTGTTACCTTTCGTCCCACAACTCCCGATGAGGAAGGGACTTTTAAAAGAGCTTGGTTCTTCTCTGTCGCTGGCGGCGAAGATGGGACCGTGCTTGAGAGCTCAGTCTCATCTGGCATGATAGTAGGATAAGCGACAACCTGATCCGCAGCGGAAGGATTCAGAGCTGCAGGATCGCTATTTCCTGTCCCTTCCGATTCGATTCTTGGCTTGGAATCATTCGTGTCCAAGGGGTGAATGCTGGTGGTTGATGCCTCATCAATAGGGCTACTCAAGTATCGTCTAGCCGAGGGCAAAGTATCGAGATCGATCATAGTAAATCCCTCGCTTTCAAGCATAGTATCAAAGACCCCGTTGTCATGCAGACCCGGAGCATTTTCAACATCAAGAGCTTTCCCCGCATCGTCAGAGTCCCCGTGGTAGGAGGAAGTAGGTGAAGGAGTCGGATAGCTCAGCGCGCTGTTAACGGATACCTTCCGAACTTCCATCTGCTGCTTCATTGTCGTCCCTCTTGTCTTTTCACTTGAGATCGAGCCTTGATTTCCATAATTATTCTCTTCAATTGACTTGGTTGAAAGCGCTCGAGGTCTTAACGATACTTGATTTGGATCGATTTTGCGAAGTTCAGGTGAATCAGAATCTGCGATAGGATTGTCGTGGTCCACAGAAGTCTCATGATCTTCCACATCTGTATCTGTTCGCACCTCAAACCTTGGAGCATCGGAATTGGACCTTGAGGGCTTGGACGGGGAGGCTTTCTGCGTTGACACAGCCGCGGAGACGCTCTTGCGCGAATTCCTCCTCTTTCGTGGCGACGTCTTCTGTTTCAACCAATCGTCCTCTTCCGAATCATCTCCTAGAGGTATTATGTCCAAGTCTGTCACACTCTGTCTCCTGCTTCGACCAGAACTCCTGCGATCACGAAGTGGCGTATCACCTCTTTTGTTTCTTGTTGACTGAGACTTTCGCCCTCTTCCAGAGGTTTTTGGTTGTCCATCCTCAGGGGACTCGTTCTGTACTGATCTGTGGGTCGTGCGCGATCGCGTCTTGAATAGTATCGCGTTGTGTTCCATGTCGCCGTCTTCCGGCTCTGCCTCTACAGTCACTCTAATTTTCCAGGGACTCAAGTTCTGTTCTGAAACGGCTCGGAATGGAGAGGACGGAACCGCGTCGCAGGTGAAGGCACTTGTTTTGGTAGGTCTGCTGGTGGTCTTCATGGACGTGCTGGAATGGCGCTTCGGTGCGGATTGTCGATTGGCAGATAGGGTGCTGCCATGTGAGGGTTCATCGTTGATAGATGTTGCTAGAGGATCGGGGGAGCTTAGATCGTGATTTGCGTAGGAAGCCACGGAGGGCGATCGGGACATTTTGTTTGTGTGGTCCCCTGAAGTATGCGCGGGTTCTTCCGTCCACGATCAATATTCAGCCCTACAAACACACCGCCAGCATCATAATCGGTCGATTTGAGGGAGTATAGGATGCTAGGTGTTAAATAACAATCAATGCGTTTGTTTATTCACCGAATGTGCAGTGGTCCGCTAAGATGGAATCATGCGAGTCGGTCGCAATGGGATTGTTTACTCCCATTTGTTTACAATGACGTTAAGTCTGCATCTTCTGATTGGCCACAGTGGCAGTCGCCTCAGCCTTGTCCCAAGTATTCGCCTTGCCATGCACCGCCATGCACCACGTGGTATTCGACTTTCAAAACGTCGAGAAATCATATGTTGCATAATTCACCGCCGGTCCAGTCGTGGGAGAAAAGATCTCGTAGTTGTCAACCCCCCATTCGGGATGATTGACCCCATCAATCCAAGCCTGCGTCTCAATCACAATGCACCCGTGCTGATTTACAAACTTGGTTGCCCCTTGTGTGCCATTATTTCTTTGCTGCTGGCTTTGCTTGACTGGGATTGTACCGTTTTGGCCGTTGCAGGTGTATATCTGGAGACCTTGTTGGTTGGTTGATACGTCCAGCTGGATGCCAGTGGTCTCGGACCATAATGTGAGCACTGGGTAGTTTAAGGATGTCGGGCCTGCATTGGCTGGTCTGTCCAGGATGAAAGCATTATCGATTCCAGTGCAGCCTTCGCCACAGACTCCGGTGGCGTTATCCACGGCGTCTCCTAAAAGCTTAGGGGAACGGAAGTCCAAGGCCGACACGTCCGAGACAAATCCCAATGCACCAGTGGGGATCAAGATAGGGTCCACGATAATATATCGGTCGGAATATGGCATCCACAAAGTCGTATCGTCCAAAATTGTCGCCTGTTTGAAAGCATTGAGGTTCCAGTAGATGTGGTTTGCCAACATGATGGGGGTCTCTTGATCCAACGCTGATGAAACCATGCTGCTCGTCAATCGTGGTCTGACTTCACCCTGCGGACCACTTGGGAATGTGTCCAGCGTGAAAGTGGCGGTTGTTAATACTGTGCCTGGAAAGCCCTGAAAGCCAGTGTCAAGTAGACTGAATGTAATGCTTGACCTGGACGAAGCTACAACAGTCCAATTCCGTTGATCATATCCAACTGTGCCCCCGTGGAGAGTGTCGGCGCCGGCATTTTCATTGGCAGGGATGTGATAAGTCTGCCCATTCAAGGTAAAGGTGCTGTTCTTGATTCGATTTGCGTAACGGCCTACGACAGGGCCAAAGTAGGTCTGAAGTTGAATGAAACCTCGTGTCAGCAAGCAGAGCAAGCTCAAATCTCAACTTGGGCAGCACGACTACTGGTCAAACTCGGAACTTACGTGATTCGTTTCTGTGTCGGTCAGATACTGAGTGGCATTGTCGTAACCAGCCACAATGTCTTGATAGTCCCCGTTACGGTCTTGAACCAGTAGTGAGGTTAGGCGAGCTCCATATGGAATGAATTTCGCCGTGATATTCTCCGCGGTCAAGGTATACACAGAGAAAGGATACGCTCCTGTCGGTGCAGAAGAGTTGGAGCTATTCTGAGCCAGAGCAGGAACTGCAATTGACGATGCCAGGATGAACCAGGAAAGTTGCGACCACATTTCAACAAAAAGGCTCGTGCCTCAGTCGTTTATCAAAGGTGTCTCAAAGCCAGCGGAACGAGGAGAACCGCAAGGTAGAGGCAGAGAAACCATTCGATTTATACTTGGCGGGGAGTTGTACATGGAGTTGGTCTGCAGGTTACATTGTAGTGATCCATCCGAAATGCTGCAGCAGGTTGGGTTGATGATGATCCGATGGTGGAGCTGAATGGCCCTCCACCACCAGCAGGCTTGTACTTTGATCCTCGAGGCACCTGATGGTGGAAGCCCAAAGCTCGAGGACAAACTGTGGGGAAGCAAGAGCCAGAGGACGGGTGTGGCCAAGTCTGGGGAAATCAATGACACCTATCCTAGTGGTGGTGCTGGCGGCGCCGTCGATCATATTGTTGATTGGTGTCACCAGATGTTGTGCCTTGTCATCCTCGGTCCATTGAGCGCCGGGATGCGGACAGAGGCTCCTTTGGAAGCAACCACCGGCATCTTGCCTAGTTGGGTCCTGCAGCCGTGCTGGGATGAGAGGGAAAAGTTCAATATGTTTTTAATTCAATGCATGTATGTAGATTCTAGGCATGTACTTTCGCCATCTCCAATTTAATAGTATCGATTTGCTGTTGCCCACATGGTTGTACGCCCCATCCCTTCATGTTGATCGTGAGCCAAGTCTCATCATCCATTCCAATCGTACTTATTCTCACGGTACCCCTGCAGTTTTCCTCGGATCCACATCCACCAGGTGAATATCGAGATACACGGGCCAATCTGGTGCCAAGTTGCTTCGTGACTCTGACAAGGGCTTGAGCGCATCCTCAACGGCCCTCTTGTCCATCTGGCCTTTGGGTTGACTCTCAATTTGAGCAATTTTCAACAAATCCTCCTCAAGCTCTTCGGCCATCAACCGGCTAGGTTGAGGTAGGAATGTCCCTTGACGTCCTTGATGGGTGTGCAATGTCGCGTATGGGAGTGCGGGACGTGTCGCCGCTTTCTCGGCCAGGTCACTCAGAGCATTGAGCCCATTCATCGCACCTATCGTTCGGGTAGACCTTGTGACATGCACAGTCTGACTGGCAGAACGATCCATCTCAGGAGCTTCAAGTTCTTCGTCCTCTTCAGACCCCGAGTCAGCAGATCCGTGGTCATCGTCGACTTTTTGGCGCCTTCTCGTGTTGCTGGTTTCACCTTCCTTCCGTGAGGTCGAGAAGAAATGACGGGCTGCAATTTGTGCTTGGTGCGATTGGAAGTTGAGTTCTTTGTCGGTGAAGAGTGAGTGGATAGAGTACAAGGGTGCAGTTTGACTTGCCAATGCTGCACGACTGCGGTCTCCCGGCGTCGAAATGCCGTTTCGTGACGGGGAACCGACATCATCATCCACAAGCTTGCGCTTACGCTTGTTTGTAACGTCTGCAACCCCGTTCATGTCCTCTTGCTCACGGTGCCTGGTAAAGCGTGTCTTGCGACTCGTGTGGTGGCCCCCAGGACTCGCTGGGTTGGTGATACTGAACTGACTGGGATGAAGGAGGAGTGCATTGGTGTCCGCAATATCAAGTTGTTCCTTCTCTTTCATCAGCCGTTGTCTTTTGCTAGAAAGAGCTTGAAACAATCGTTCTCGCAGTGTCGAGGTCATGTGTTCGCATTCTTCCGCAGCAAGGTGCAGACGGTAATCACATTCGTATTTCAGTCTCTCAAGACGGGCATTGTGATTGTTCTGTCTCGCGGTTAGCATCACAGTCTGGCGGACCACATCAGATGTAGAGTACCATAAGTTGTATGAGAGCTAGTTCTTTGGCCTCCTTCGCATCGTTGATCTCGTGTACAAATTCCGCGTACCATTTTCCTGCCAATGAAGACATCTGAGACTGATACGGTGTACCTGAAGCTGCCAGCTCAGCAATCCTAGCCACCTCTTCCGGTGAATCTTCCAGAGGCTCGGGTTCATAGGGATCGGCTTGGGAAATGAGGCTCATGTCATGCTGCAGAGCAATGAGCTGTTCTCGGTAGTGCTGTTCACGATTGCTATTCAACTCATTGTGTAGCTCTTGCTGCTGCGCGACATGCTGACTCCTGCGCTTGTCTCGCTTCGACATTGGTTGTGTAGGAGGAGTGGGCGACCGACGGTGGGAGTATGCGGCTCCGTCTGGACCAGCCAAGGGAGACGCTGGAGAGGGTGAGTAGGCCATTGTTTCAGACAAATAGACGGATTCAAATATGAGATCGTCCCCCAGACGACCTACAAGAGATGCAAAAAAGTGTCTAGGTATGAGATAACAAAGCACATGTGCTGTGTGAGAAAATTAAGGTCAAAGGGGAGTAGGAGAGATGCGATTCCGGGGTTGACGCACAGTGGGTCGTGGAGGCCGAGGGGCAAATGTGCAAAACATGACAAACATGACAAACAATTGAATTGGGTGGCACCAGTCAAAACTCAGTGAATTGAATTGGTGACAACAATAGGAATGCTTCACTTCTCTCTTTTCAGCGCCTATTGTCAGAAGAAACAAGATTCACCTTCTCTTCGAAGTCAATTACCGGCCTATTCATGCTAGATTCCATGCACAAATCAGCATTCTTCCCAACACGGATCTTTACACCCCGTGGTCTCGGCCAGCGGGAGTCCCTCTAGGCATGCCACGCACCACGCTCAAAAGCCATGCCCTGATTCTGTAGTGGTTCAGTCAAGAGGTGGGACCATATCTGTTGTGCGACGTATTCTGCTTCTTTCAACCGCCACTAGACTAGCAGCATCACCAGTGCGCTCATTTCCCATGCGAGATGCAGATTCGAATCACAGACAATTGCGTTCGATTTGCTTGAGCCGGTGAAAATGACAGCAAGCACTCCGCCTAGTTGGGAAGACCAAGCAAAGTCCTAGGTGAGCTCTTCCCTGCTCTGTTACTGTATTCATCGTAGCACACCCAGGTCGTTCAACTCGAGACCAATCGGCCGTTCTCGTTAGGCCCTCACCGCTCCGCCTCCAGAGTTGGTGCGAGCCTCCAGACGCGAAATACTCGGCAGACGGTTACTCCGCTACCCCTCTTCAACCCACCGGTTGTGTACATTAGGCATCCTCCTTCCTACTTGCTCACCCAGCTTTTACAAGGCTGAAGGTTCAAACCTACGTGTCAGACCCCTCGCCATTGGGAAGAGCAAGAGCATATTATTGAGCAGCACATCGCAGTTTCTACGTAAACACTTTTATTGCACGAAAGTCTATTGCAAGAGCATCGTTGTACTGCCGGCCGTCGCACGGTTACTTTTTGTTACTTCCATTGAGGAACTTATTGCACATCATATCTCTATACCGACAAGCTTTCCTCTTTCCTACATCATCCAGCATGGCTCCAACAGTTATCCATTCCGTCGTCTTGTTCGACGGTAATAAAACTCACTTGAACGCAACTGTTGTTTTCAATTCGGACAGCGGCACGATCACATCTGTCTCGAGCGGTTCTAGCAGCAGTCAATATCCTCAGGGCGCAACGGTCATTAATGGGGCAGGCCACAGCCTTATTCCAGGCCTGATTGATACTCACATACATTGCACCAATGTGCACCTACCTCCAGGAGCAGATGACTCGATGATCTTGCGATCTCCTCTGAAATGTGGCGTCACGACCGTCTGCGACATGCATTCTGACCTGTCAATGGTACAAAGATGGCGCAAGGCCATTGCTGAGGAGCTTGCACAAGCCAAGCGAGCTGGCGGGACAGTCGCTTTGTCGGACCTCAAGAGCTCGCTCTATGGTGCCACGATCGAGGGAGGGTGGCCCAAACCGATCGTGCTGTCGGGTCATCCCACGGAAGAGGTCAGTGTCTATTTCACCAGTACTTGACAAGTGCGAATGATGGCAGAAGTCTGCGTCTCAACGTCCACCTCACTGACTACTGACAGGTGATTGAAATGGTCAAGAAATGGCCCAACTTGACACCAGAGACTGCATCTGATTATGTCAAGAATCACAAGGCGAACGGGGCAGACTATATCAAGCTAATGCAGGAGAACTGCTGTTCGCTCGCCCTTCCCACGAATTCGATACCGGTTGCTACCCTTGAGCTCCAGACCGCGGTTGTCAAGGCTGCCCACGAGAATGGTCTTCCTTGTGTTGGTCATGCATTGAGCGCTGACATGACCGAGATTGTTCTCAAGGCCGGGGCGGACGGACTTACGCACACCTTCGTCGATCAACCATTGCCGGAGAACATCACCGCGCTATACAAGGAGACGAACGCTTTTGTCATCCCTACATTCGTTGTATTGGCTAGCTTGACAAACGAACTGCAGGACGTGCGGGAGAGGTTTGCTGACCTCGCTTTCAAAAAGGGGGTCATCGATGAGGTGACCAAGCAGAACATGATTGAAGTGCTCGGGATGAAGGCCCCAACTGCCAAGATGGAATATGCATACGACACGGTGGCCAAGCTGAAGAAAGAAGGCATTGATGTCGTTGCTGGGACGGATGCCGTAGCGGGCCTCAAGGGCACTGGAATTGGACCCAGCCTGTGGATGGAGCTAGAGTTGTACACTCAAAAATGCGGCTTTAGCAGCACGGAAGCTTTGACTTCTGCAACAGCAGCGGCTGCGAAGAGGTTTGGTTTTGCTGACCGTGGAGAGGTAACAGAGGGCAAGCGAGCTGATCTTGTCCTGGTCAAAGGAAATGTCACCGAGAAGCTGCAGAATCTGTGGGAAGGTGAGGGCATCGTCGGAGTGTGGAAGGAGGGTTTGAAGGCTGCTTAGATTTGCTGGCCAAAGCACGGAACAGACAGGTCAAATACTTCATCCTCTTGCCCAGTCGTTCATTTTCTCAACAGACTGCTCACTCTTCTATTCGGTTTTTGTTTACCCCCAAGAAGCTAAGACGGTGCGTGAGAGGATCCGTATGGGTCGAAGGAGAGTCGGGAAGACAGCGTTTTTCGTTTGCAGCCAATCTGACCCAGCAAGAGAGGGTGAAGCGTAGACTGGCTCTGAATCAAGCATCATCGCCGCTTTATTTGAGAGGGGATGATGCAACGACGACCTGTTGGCGAGGGCTGGGTGTGGATTTCCAGGGAGCGCAAGGATTGAGAGGGACTGCGGTCTAGCATCTTGGCAAGGATAGCACCAGTGTTTGTTGGTTTTGTGTATATCTTTCCTGCCGAAGTCGTCGTGATGTGATCGTGTTCATGGGATGGGTATGGAGGGTCAGAAGATCGATGAATGGTCCGTCTAGAATACAGCATGCAAGGGCAAGAGTTTGAAATCCGGGGTTGATGAGACTGTATTGGACGGTGGGTTACACAGAGATGCGAATGCTGGCTTGGTGGCATGCCCATTGAAACAAAAATCATCCATTTTGTCCTGTGGGCATTAAGCGTGAGATTATTATTAGCTGCGCATATAGGCACTTACAGGACTTAACTTCACTTCCTCATCTCAACCTCTTTCTGTACTTGCCCATATCCAAGATTCACGACAAGACAAGACAAGACACGAGTACAATCCATCACACCTGACCGCGATCCGATGCGCCGAGTTCCTCCTCGCTCGCTTGGCCGGCTGCCAACTCCTCTCGATTCTGTAGGTTGATGACAGCCGGGGACAATGAACTCAGATAAGCAGCTAGTCTTTGTTGCTGGTTTGCCGCATGGGAAACTACTGCATTGCTGCGTTGTCACTTCGGTACCGTCAACGGCTTCCGCCATCCGCCATCCACCACCCGCCAATCCCATGATGCTGGTTCATATAAACAGACCCGTCCCATCACATCTACATTTCACAGCGTAAGTCTACACAAGGTACTGGGTACAACGTCTCTACCTCCTTTTTCGGACCTCTATTGGTTGTTCTTTTTCATCCCCTAGAAAAGAGACCATTCTCAATCCTCACTATTCACGTGCCCCTCTGTCCCTCTGTTTTCGGTCTACCTTTTGAAGAATCCCCGAGGTCACTCAAAAGAAGAAAAAAAAATGTTGAGTCCGAGAGAAGGAGATCTCGAGAAACTCGCCGAGACGTGCCTCGCGGCGGCCAAGCAGATCAAGCAGTACCTCGCCGACAACAACCACCCACAGCCCAGTTTCGACGAGAACGGGCCGTCGTCCTTCCCGCCCGCGACGCCCGACTTCCAACAGACCAGACTCGAGCTGCGTACGGCGGCCCGGCGCCTGTATGATCTGGCCTCGGGGCCGGACGATATTGTGACATGGCATCTCTATCACTGTGTGGGTTATCTCTCTCCCCCAAGCCCCATGGAATGCAAGCAACATCTCGAATCGATAATATATCCCCCCCCCTCTTCCTTTCCCTCCTGTTTGCTTCAAATCCATCTGCATGCCCGCCTCCTCCCACCCCCTACCTCTTTTCCTCACACTTCAAAAGACAATTGTGTCTCACCAGCAGCCGGTGATGTGTGATATTCTCTACAGAACCATGACCTGAACGCCTTCCGCTACGTGTACCGGTACAAAGTGGCCGAGGGGGTGCCACTGGACGGCGGCACCATCAGCTACCCGGACCTGGCGGACAAGCTGGGCGTGGACGCGTCGCAGCTCAAGCAGATGCTGCGACAGCTGATGCCGATCCACGTGTTCCGCGAGCCGCAGCCGGGCCGGGTGGGCCACACGGCGTCGTCGCGGCTGCTGGCGACGCACGGCGGCATCGCGACCTTCATGGGGTTCCTGGCCGAGGACACGTTCCCGCTGTGCGCGCGGCAGGTCGACGCCCTGGAGAAATGGGGCCACGGCCGCCCGGAGCCCACCCGCACCGCCCTCAGCTACTATTACGACACGGACCTGCCCTGCCACGACTACTACGAGACCAACCCGGCCGTGCGCGACCGATTCGGCCGCCTGATGACGCACCTGACGGCGAACCCGCTGATGGCCAACGGCCACGTGGCGCGCGGGTTTGACTGGGGCAGCCTGCCGCGCGACAGCGTCGTCGTCGACGTCGCCGGCAACGCGGGACACTGCGCCGTGCCCATCGCCGAGAGCACCGACCCCAGCGTGCGCATCGTGGTCCAGGACCTGCCCAAGGTGGTGGCCGCGGCGCGGGACCCAGCCACCAGCGTCATCCCCGCGAGCCTGCGCGACCGCTTCGACTTCATGGCCCACGACTACTTCACGCCACAGCCCGTTCGCGGCGCCGCCGTCTACTTCCTGCGCATGATCGTCCACAACCACAGTGACGCACTCGCCGTCAAGGTCCTGCGCCAGATCGTCCCCGCCATGCACCCCACATCGCGCATCGTCATCATGGACCAGGTCATGCCCCCCGCCGCGGGCCTGCTCCCGGAACCGCTCGAGCGAATCAAGCGCTCCCAGGACCTGCAGATGATGCTGCTCCTCAATGCAAAGGAGCGCGACGAGGCCGAGTGGGCCGACCTGATGGCCCGCGCGGGCGAGGGGTTGGTCCAAGACGTTTTTGCCGCCGCCACGGGAGAGCCCGACGCGGGCAAAGGCAAGAAATTGGGCATTGTGGCCGTGCGTACCCCGCCGGGCAGTATGATGAGTTTGATCGAGGTCGGGTTCGTCGATGATGGTGCCCCCGAGCCTGAAGTCGTCGCGAAGGATAAGACTCATTGAATATTGAGGATAGGTTTTGCAAGAGGGGGGAAAACTTTGCGGCCTTTCTCTCTCTCACTCCCCCCCCCTCCGCCCACACACACGCGCACAGAGGAATGGAAAACCAGAGACGAGATGGCAGTGTTTGGGGGTAGACAGCTACGGAGTGAAAACAAAAATACGGGTTCAACCATGAATGAATGTATTAATCATACTTCTACAAACAGACCCTCGAGGTTCTTGCCCAACAGACCAGCGGAGACAATACGAGAGCTTCAACACTGACATACGACCAAAACCCACAGGTCGTACGACCACCACGGAGACACACAGGAGCTCAACGTAGTTCCCTCCCAAACGTCTGCCTTGACTCGATTTTATCTCATACTCCACCCAACCTTGCCTCGTTGCTTTTTTATTATTAGAGAATGATTGATATAATGTCGCTGTTCTGCGGAAACGAGAGCTCGAGACGGCGTGTTCAAAACAATACACCTCCAATCCAACATTAACACGCCCTCGTACTCAAGCAGTGCCTGGATGGTATTCCAATGCGTGGTTGACTTGTTGTCTCTTCAGTACCCGTTTTGTTCCATTTCCACAATCTCGTCAGGGTCTGTCACCCAAAGCAGCACTCTCCCTTGACTGCGTGCGTCCCGTGCTGCTTTCATACCTTCCTCAAACTCCTTCTCCCAGAAGTTAATGGATTCTCTGGTGTCTCTTTCCGTCCATGTCTTTTGTACAAGAGAGTCCACGTAAGATGAGGCGATTCCGGCTTCAACGTATGTCTGTGGTGCGGGGGCGTCAGCGCCATTTAGGAGGTCTTCCGCCCACGAGTCGTATTGGTGCTCGCGCTGATAGTCTGTCATGCCGTCTTCCCCAATCTGGGTGTTGTCCAACTCTTCGCGACTCAGAGGTCTCTCTTCAGGGAGTTGTCTGCCAGTTTTGACGGGTGTTCCACGCGATTGTCTGCTGGTGGCTCTTTCTGCGTCTGGCGCGCCTGTTTCGAGTCGTGATTCGATGAATTCTGATTCGGAGCTGGGTGGCGACGATGAAAGTGATCGTGCTTGTTCGCTCAGAGACAGCCGAGAAGATTTCGCGGGTTTGTACTTCTGTGCGTCGGATCTCGCCTTGTTAAGCCTGATCTCTTGGGTCTCGTTCACCATGATGCTGTCTGTATGTCCAGTGAAGCCCGAATATTCGAGCGGAGTATTTTGGGGGAGTTCTGCATGTGACATGCGAGGGGTGCTGGGCTGAGGTGGTACTTCTTCCTGTACCGTCGCTTGATGTGTCGTGAGCGTGTCATCATCTTCGTCATCTTCAAACTCATCTTCATCAGGAACACGAAAGTGGCCAGGTCGAGGATTTGCAAGGGACGGACGCCAAGTGTCATCGTTCGGATCGGTAACATTGGGATCAAGGTGGAATCTCGAAGTCACGTTCCCTTTGGTATTTTGCATAGTCATCGGAGAGTGTATGTTATCCACGTCAAACGGAAGAGAAGATGTGGAGTCCGGGGACTGACTTGAAAGGTCCGCAAATGTGCTGCCACGATACTCACCGGACCGGCCATACTGGCCATAGACAGCTTTGACCGAGTCAACTGGGTTGATACGCACCGATTTTACGGATCGTCCGACTGAACCGAGGTTTGTGGTGTTCTGTCTCATTGCAGAGCGCAGAGGAGTTTGAGGTAGAAGTTTGCTTGCGGGCGTTGCAGGTTGCGTCTCTGCTGATGTTTCGCCGATCCCCTCGACCTCATTTTCAATATCAAGATAGCTGTCATCAATTCCAAATCCGCCTCTTCTGGGCCCTGGGATCTGGCCTTCGACGGAAGTGAGTTTGCGCTTGTTGGTGCCTGGGGTTTCGGTGGGGTTGAACTCGGCTGCTTTACCTTCAGTGGTATCAGCGAGAGCGGCCATTTGTTCCCGACCTGCAATGGTGTTCGCTGTTCTGCGTTTCTTGAAATATTCACGAGTGAGAATTCTGCTGTCCACGGTGGGAGAGTCATGAGAGGGAGATTCAGACTCGCGAAGAGTTATTCGTTGTGATGGAGTAGGACTGCCTTGATCTGAGAAGTCCTGTTGTTCTCCGGCAGTTGTGTCTGCGTCTTGTGCTTGGTCTTGGCTTTGATCTGAGCCACTAAGGCTGCTTTGTTGTGGTTTTTGGTGAATCTCATCTTCTGCCGGACCTTGGGTACCACTGCCTGTGAGGTAGCCCAGAAATTTCCTCACACTTCCCAGAATGCCAGCTGGGGTTGGGGTTGGAGGAGTTGGAGTAGGTGTTCTCGGTCGCTGAGGTCTCGGTCGCTCTTGTGACCTAGAACGTTCTTCTTGACTGGTCGGACTGGGTTCGGGGCTCGTGGGCTCGAAAGCGCGCTGGAAGAAAGGAGACTCGTGGCGGGAGGTGAGTTTGGGGGGCGCAGAGGTCAAGAGGCTTCGATTTCGAGTCTTCGAGAACAGGAACTTTGGCTGTTCGGGGGTGACAGCCTTACGCCGCTTCGACACGTTCTGGTCGGGACCGTCATCCGTTTCTCGTCGCCGTTTTGTGCTCGGGGGCTCTAATTGGCATTCGCACGTCAGCTCAGCGTCCGTTTGAGTCCACGCATCTCTATACTGGGGTCTTGCTCGGGCAGATGTCCCGATTTCTCTCACCTCCGTCAGGGTAGACGGGTCCACGGCGAGAGATGGGCGGGTAGGACAATCAGAAGGGGCACAGGGAGAATATAAGACAATGAAAGGCGCCAGGGACGCAGTGCAGCCAGCTGAACGCGGTTTTCGCTCACGTTTGGGGGGTTGGTACTCCGAAAAGCCCTCGGGACGGGCGCCTTGTCCACGGGTATGGACCATGATTCACCACTGGGGGGTTCTTGGATACTGTTTGTGGGTGCAGGGGCGGATACAAGCGACGACGATGACAACAATTGAGATCAACGGGAGTCGAAAAGTTGACTACCATGTTGGGACTAGTGCGGTATGTCTTGGCACGAGCATGGCGGCTTCCGAAGCGACGGGTTCAGTGCTTCGTTAAGAATAGGGAACACTTAGCTCCCTGGTTTCCTATAAACCATTTGGGTGTATCTTGGATCTATAGGACGGGTCTAGGCAGCCTCACAATGTCCTTCTTTCAACTAACGCAAGAATGTTGGTTGTAACGCAAAAATACAGAGGGGAATGCTATAGGGAGTCATGTACTCTTCCTTCGACTTCTGGGTGACTTCAACACCAGCATTATGTTTATGTAAGGAGCACAAGTTTGTCTGCTATTGAATAGGGCTAATGATTCTGTCTCCTGACGTCTTGGCCCTCTTTCGACGACGCGTCTCTCTCCTCTAGCTATGCAGGGCTTCTAATTTATAAACTGGATGGTCGTCTACCCAGATACTGTCTAGGTGCCATTATCTGCTCTCAAATCGACTCCCATCTGCAGCATGGAGCCCACGCAACATGCTTCTTTCATCGCCTAACTTCCGCTATCATTTGCACTCCCTGCTACCTTTTTAGCGGCCCTTTCAGACTTTCCCTTGATGAATCCCGACAGGTCGCCCACAGGGAGTGTGAGTGGAAAGTCGACACATTCCAGCAATTGAACAGCGAGCAGATACCACACCATCATCGTAAGGGCCCACGTGAAAGCACCCGCTGCCTAAAGTTGGGTAAAGAAATGTTAGCATGAGGCTTGCTTGACGTACAAGGAGTGGAGTTCTGTGTGGCGGAGGCCACAGGGTACGGAGGGTGCTTGTGCTCAAGTCCGGGCCAGGAGAGAAGACGTAAGGCCACAACTCGAGACAAACTCACTATAGTCAACTTGTTGCCCGTGTCCGCGTTTCCGAGTGCAAGATGCCAGAAAGCGCCTGCGGCACATCCGAAGGCAAAGATCAGGGTGAAAAGGGCAGAGAAGAAGACGATATTGGTCCTCAAAGCGCAGATGGCGAAAATCGTGGTGATCATAGCCAGGGAGACATAGTAAAATCCTGTTCACATAAGGGACTGAATTAGCGGCAGGTAAATGGTTTGTGGCTAGGACAAACGAAAGACACGTACCGACAGTGGCAAAATAGGCCGGTTCAGTCATTCCATGAAAGTTGTCTCCTGTGGTGGAGTATTGAACCCCGACCCCAAACCACGGAACGAGTTGAGTGCCGGCCACGATCCAGAAAGTGCCATAGGTGAAGAACAAGCACATGGAGAAGGTGTTCCCCAGAATCCATTCGCCGATAGCGCCCAAGATCTGAAGAATACCGCCGAAGAAGATCATTGTTGGGCTGTGGGGACACTGTCAGTCATTCTGGGACAGTCTCGTAGCAGGAAAGCCCCTTTCGGAACCATCAATGGTGTCTTGAGGTCTCCTGAAAAGTAGGGTGAGGCGTTGGCTAACTCACATGAGGGCACCTCCCAAACCTCCTGCACCACGCCAGCCCATGTTTGCGGCAGCATATGGAGTTGCGGACATGACGAACCCAATCAGAGCGGCGGGTGTCGGATTACCAAACTAGTACAGAGGGTAACTGTGAGACAGGCCAGCTAGAACTCGTGCATGGGGATTTTACCTTCTTCCTCAAGTCTCCGGGGACATTTCGCTCAGGTGAGAGGTAGAGCGCTTCGAAGACATCGCGAGGGAGGAAAACACTGTCTGCAGTCTGCACACGACGGAGGAAATCTTCCTTTGAACTCAAGTGGTTCAAGGGGGTAACTTTGTTGTCCTCCATTGTCAATAGAGTGTGTACGCGTTGTCCTTGAGTAGAGCGACGGACAAAAAGACTATCTCTTGAATTCTTCGAAGTTGAAAGCAAGGAACAGAGTCAAAGTGCTAGGGGAGGGAAAAGAGAGCAGCAAGAAGCAAGAGGAGCCTTTGGGGTAGCCGGTCCTCTTCAAACTTTTAAACCATGTGTCGGACTTTCCACTTCCATGTGTAGTCGACACGGTAAATGCAATGAATCCACTCTGGTTGGAGTGCTTCCGTTCAGGACAATACGAGTACCCGTAAGCCCGCCATGTGCGGCCCAGCAGCGGGGAGTTAGCGGCAGACCGCGACTGGATAACACAACATCTTTGAGCCCCGTGGGGATTACAGAATTTTGCCCTGAATCGCGTCGAGGAGCCAGTAGGCATAGGGAGGAAGGGCATTCAGCGGTGAAAAGCGGGTTTGCGTCCCTTGGGCTGTGGGGATAGCTACCTAGCTAGGCAAGGGCAGCCTTTGTCACGGTTGGTCACAGCTGATGATGCTGGGGTAGAAGGGGGAATCGGTCGTTCATTCTCCGTCAAAAGGACCTGTCCAGTGGCTGCAAGGACTTATGCAGCCGTATGCAGAGTGGTATGAGCATCACTGGGGACAACTCTCGCTCGATCGAAGCAGTGCATAGCCGCGAGAAAAAGCGAAAGAGACCTGAGTGGTAGGCTGCCTGGTTGCCTTGCTTCCTCGCCAAACGTGCTCCGGGGTCCTGAGATCTCTGCTTGTTACGACGATCATTCCCAATTCCCGGCTAGGTTTGCCCCTGGGTAGAAGTTTGATTCTCTGGAATACCAGGGTGAGCGCATGTTAGGGTATTCGAGTTGGAGAAAGACGTAGCATTGGACTTTCTCGGAACTGAAAACGCCACATCATACGTTGCAGCTTGTGGGGAGATGGGGGTGGGGAGACTAGCGGACAACAAAGAGAGCTTCTTGGACGATTGCCGGATTAGTTTCAGCAGGCGGTGGAAGAGTTGATGTGGTTCTGAAGTGTAACGAGTCAAGGAGTGTATGAGAGATGAAGAGATGAAGTTCAAAGAAGATTTGGTTGTCCAAGAAATCGCCAAGTGATGCTATAGTCAAAGTACATTGGCATAATATTAGGATTACTCACTTTGTTGGAATACGAGGTGGTGCTACTGATAAGGGGCCTGCCGAGAAGGAGTCAGTGCGCCATTATTGCTTATCTACCTGACTACTCGGTACCGAGTATATACATTGAAGACTTGGAAGAGGATTGCTGTTACAACCTGCTAACCACATAGGTGTCGAGGTTGGTATTGATCGCCTTCTCTACCTTCCCTTGCCCAACTGGTTCTTCTCAGGCACAAGCGAGTCAAGAGGCGCAACGATTCAATCGAAGAGATCCCGGCACATGGCGGCAAAACGAATGTGGGGTTGCATACTCGTACAAGGTACATACATGGTACGACTTACCCCAGCATCGCTAGCGTCATGTACTCCCTAGAAGGATGAAAAAAGCCTTCGGACATGGCATGGCGGAGGAAAAATAGCCGGGCCGCCGTCGGACGATAATAATGCAGTCGTTGTCGGACCGTTTCCGCCCTCACAATAGTGATCCCACAGACCATCACCGGCGGAGTGTCGCCTAGAGCAGTAAGACAACTATGTATAAGCACCCACCGGTTGCTGACCAAGTAATATAATTATGTATCTTGAAGCAGCTTGAGTTTCTTTCGACAAGGTATCACCACCCTGGAGCTCAGGCCTTCTGTCACAACACCAAACCTGAAATCAGAGTGATGACAAGTATGGTTGAGATTCTTGTTATACGGCGACCAAGGCCGTGCAGCTCTGCAACTGCCTGATTCTGCGTCCCGCCTTCAACGCTGAGAGCTCCGCCGAGATATGGCTGAGAAGGTGGCAGAGACACACTCGCGTCTTGGCTCGTCTGATTCTGCAGGACATTTTCTCGGAGAGCACACGATGGGCGAGTGCCTCTGGATGTCAGCTGCGTGGTGTTGGGAATGGAATTGGTCACTTGGATGGGGAGGTTGAAGATCGTGTAATATGCGGTTCCATTGAGTCGGAAGGACTGATGGATCGAGACCTGTCCGCACTGTCAGTATCCTGGGAAGCGCAAAAGGAGCGGCGCTGATCGCACATTATACGAGCCTCTGGCAGAGGAAGCACCTGAATCCTTGTCGCCATCACCAACGAAACAGTCCGGCCATGCCCAGTTGACATGCTTCACAGTACTGCCATTCTCTTGCGCCATGATCTGCTCACATCCCGCATTCTGAAAGCCTTGACTGGTCGTGGAGTTACAACGGAACTCTGGTGCTTCCGGGCCATCGCTCCACCAGCCATCACTGGTGCCATTGGATATCGTCAAGTTGAGGCCTGTAACATAGCTGAACAGGAACATGGTGATATTGAGAATGCCGGTGTCAACATTGGGAGAGTACGGAGGCTGAGGGATGCGGCCATTTCCTGAGATATCGATGGCGACTTGGAGGAAATCTGTGTACCGCAGTCAGTGGCGTCGAGATCACATTGAGCAATCCTATAATGCGTGTGCCAGTGTAAATTTCATGCCCATATGTACTCACCACCTCCTTCAGGCGTGAACGGTTGAGGCGCATCAATTATTGCTAAGCCTGGTGTGTATATTTGACCGTTGACAATGGTAAAATTTGCTGCAGCGTGAACGCAAGTAAGTATCAAACAGGCGAGCGCCAGAGCTCTGGGGAGAGAGGGAAGGACCACTGAAGTCCTCATCTCAACGGAATGTAAGCTCTTGACATGACGAGACACTTCATGAGATTCAGCGATACTGCGGTTGCGAAGTTGCCTGCCGCGACATCACAAAAGTTGGCAATTGTAGTTGGCGTGGCCATCAATTTGCTTGAAACCGCGACGCGGAACCGGCTTCTGGTACCCCCTGGTCAGTCAATTTCCTTCCTACGATTCCTTGATGGATGACTGCCGTCTTTCCCAGACAGACATTGTTTTGTGTGTTTCTGCTTCAACATGTGAATCCAACACGACTGAGTCCTCGGAAGGAGATAAAGGGCCTTGAGCACAATGATATCCGAATAAGTCACAATAAATTGTGGCCAATAGATCGTTGAAGCGGCAGGGAAACTTTGGGTAATTGTGGCTCTCACGTGATCACAATTTTCAATGCTCAGGAGCCACGGAAGCTTTCACGAAACTCTTCGACCAACTACGGTATCCTCATTATCGCCTTTCGAAACGATTCCCATCTGGCTGAGATGGAGCGAGTCTGCGCACGCTGTGCGCGACTTGGGCTCAGGCCAAGGTCTTCTGCCCTCTCCATTCCACTAGCTACGAGTGCTAGAGGTTTCTCGAGCTCGACGGTCTCACACGATCAAGGTAGCACTCACACTCCCCGTCTGCATCACATCATCTGGAGCCTGTAAGAACTGACATTAACTCCATCTAGGCGATCAAAAGCCACCCCGCCAGCCAAATGACAGGCCTCTACCTGGTACCTCCCTTCGCGGCGCACTCGATAGAAGCACTCCCAGTGGATGGGCATCCCGACCGCAGGCAGGTCGACCTGCAGGTCCGATTCTACGACGCACAACTACACCACGAACACAAGCATCTGGTCCACCAGGGACCGCTACTCGCACCGGAACCGTTCCTGGAGCAGGGGGAGCAACGCGTGCACCACCACCTGGTCGTCTTCTCCAACGCACTGGAGCTCCTCGTCAAGGCCAACAATCTCCAGTCCGACGACCGGCTGGAGGGCGGGGCCAACAACCACAGCAGACACAGTATGGAGCGCAACAACAGGCTCAACGACAAGGCCAATCCAGAGGATCTGCACCCGCTGGCAAACGCACCGACCGCCGTGTCCGCCGCCTCGTTGAGAAGACCAAGACCTCGCTCGCCGAGGAAGAAGACGCGGCTGCCTTCGCCGCTGAAGACCTTCCCAGTCGCGTCGAGAACTACATCAACACAATTGTCGACCCTCCCGCGAACCCGACGACGGAACTGCCTCATTTACCTGGAGAAGAACTCTCCGTGACGGAACTGCGTAAGGACTGGCCAAACACGCCACTCACCAACTCGGGCCTAGTGGAAAGCGTGCAACAAAGGATCGAGTGGCTCGCGCATCGGATTCCGCACGGCTACCAGACACCAGGCCAGCTGGCGGAGTGGTACACCAAGGGCTACTTCACCCGCTTCGAGTCCGAGGCGGAGAAGGAGGAGGTCTTGAAGCTCGCGCAGGAAGTGGCCAAGCTGGAGGCCGACAAAGAGACCGAGAAGACAAACGTCGAGGTCCAGCCCAAGGATGTGAGTTTTGAGGACGTGGTTGCCCGCGCCGCCGAGCGCAAGGGCCTCGCCGACACCTACGCGCGTGGCGTGTATCCCCAAGTCAAAAAGCAGAAGATGCCGTTCTTGGACCAGATTGTGCGCAACCTCAACAATAACGCGACGTTCCCCCATGGAAAGACGGAGCAATTCATGCAGACGGTCCAGAAGGTCATCGTGTCGCGTGCGCAAGAGGGCGGGCGGAATCAGAAGAGAGCCGAAAAGTAGAGTCGCTGTAAAATATCACACATGCAACTAGAATAGTAGAATGGAGATTCTTTTTTTTTTTTTGAGGTACATAGTCTCCCTCAACCTGGAATGGAAGAACTGCAACCCTCGAAAATATCATAGCTGAGCCGCACAAAACCCTGGGTGGTCATGGTCATCAAAGGTAACAACAACAACAACAACAACAACAACAACAACAAAGAGAATGGTCAACGTGAAAATGAACGTAAGGTAACGTGCTAGTCAGTCGTCCATGACCGTACAGGTCGATACATCCTTCCTGGCACAGTCGACCTCAAAGACATGAAGAGCCTTGACTCTCTCATGCAGCTCCATGCCTTCGACAAGTTCAGAGTCCTCCCATCAACTAACACATCGATCGCTGTTATGTCCCAAGCTCAATTGTAATGCTGGAAGGCAGACATTATTGACGAGAATTTGATCTCGACACAATGGGCAGGTCGACTTGCCCTCGCGAATCAACCAGACAACCAGGCACTACCTGTGGAAAATGTGACTGCACGACAAGTTATAGACATATTCAGCTTTGCCAATGGGGTCCAGCTGGCAAATGGAACATTCGAAGACCATCTCCTCTATACCGCCGGTATCTCCCTCAAGTGCTTTGAATGTGACCAGTGGGCATGGTTTCATCGCGTATTCTTCGCCGTCGAATATGCATGCCTCTTGGACTTCAAGAAAGCGGTATTGCTCCAGCATGAACAGACCAAGAAAGCAGATTGCTGGCAAGATATTTCCGTCCATGGTGACTGACGTGATCCGTAGGACATGTATCTAAATGGCCCAGGTCACTAGGACACCGTAGTTGATCGCTTCAGAGGTGGTCACAGTCGTGGGTCTCCATTTTGCTGTAAACTGAGGAACCTGCACAGTATTGATCGCTGTGCAACAGACCAGCTTCTTCATGTCGTTCAAAGCAATCATGGTGAGGACGGGTGCCAGAGTGATGAATTTGAGGCAGAACTGATCCTGACCACTCAGCTCATGGTAGTCTCTGGGGGATCGAACTCCGTCGAACACCTTGCATAGGACACCAACTTTGCGAATCAAGGAATGTAGATGATAGCGAAGGGCATATTCCGTCAATCCTTTTGTTTTTGCCGTGATGCAAGGTGATATGCATATAGAGATTTCATAAAGAGTGTCTTCTTCTTGTATTTTGGCCTCGTCCATATTGTATGGTGTGAAGGAAAAAGCTGACGATGGTGGAGATGAAAACAGCAGAAGTAAATGAAGGGAACGAGTGACGATACTCACTAACTAAATGAAACAGGGTTATAGAAGATATGAGCTGTGAGACGATATTAAAGACTGTTGTGGAGAGATCCGAGGAGTGGATGAAGATATGCGCGGACAGAGGATAAAGGATTGTTTATTTGGATTAAGAGGAAGGAGCATTCCAACCTCATTACCATCTTATCGGCTCGAAACTACTTCCAGGCATTGAAGAAGGACTACGACGAATTCAGCTTGTTCAGGAAGCAGACCAGCAGCAGGGGAAGACGTACGACAAATCAACATAGTGATTTCAAGGCTGCAGATATGCTTCCTGCTCCATTTTCATTTCACGCCGGTCCATCATAAACCCAAGTTCCTACCTTATTCCTCGTCCTCCATATTTCTATATGGTCACTGACCATCACTTCAGGGAAGACCATCTGATTTGCGGTGCAGACGCCAATGGTCCTTTCGAAGGCGTTGTTTTGTTACCAACCCAGTTCTCCTGCAATTCACCCTTTTGCTTGGTGATTGGACTTGTTTGGTACTCTCCATGGTTGACCCGACCAGACGTTCTCTCCTGTCAACTCCCTGGCGATGATTTGATTGTTTTTGCGCTGCGCTGCTCTCGTTTACTCCGGTCATCTGTGCTCGAGGCTTTCGGATATCGTTTTTCCTTGATTGATTCGTAATTGAGCCACCCAGAGGTGCACCAGTATTGATGCGTACGACTGCGTCAGACACACACACGGGTTCATGGCATACCGGGCATTGGCTGAAACTGGCAACAAAATCCTCCGCACATAGCAAATGAAACCAGTGGGATTTGCTGCAAGGGAGGTATAACAGGGTATCGCAATCGACCACCTGCCTCTAACAGAGGACACAATCTGTGCCAGCCCTGCTAGGCCCAGCCTCTAGGAGCCACTGTTGGAACTTTGTGTCCGTGCGGAAATGTCTTGAGGATCTTGAGTGAAGGGGTATTACATCGAGGGAGTCGTTCCCATCTTCGAGTCGTGAGAACATCATCCTGATATTCGCATTCAATACTTTGAAGAAGGCTACTACAGTAGTAAAGAGGTAGTCGAGCCGTTGCCAAAGGACTGTGAAAGATTAGCGAAGATCGACAGCAATGAAAATAACGCGGCATCAGAAGAATGAAGTGTAGAGGCGCGACAAAAAGTGAGGATTCTGACCGAACTGCATACATTGGAGACCCATCCATCTTGCCAACCAGCCTGTCAACATCGGAAGAGCCAGGACCATGAAGAGCACAAAATAAAAGCAAATGGCAGCGCCTATTCTTCGAATACACGTGACTGCGTCTGAGATGATGCCGTTAAACAATTGGATTCCAGCAGAGGCTAGATACCAACGCAGCAATCGAAGCTCAAGGAAGAAGTGGTGGATGACGAAGGGAAGGCATTTAAGAAACCCTCCCACCTGGCTTTGCAAACACTTCAAAGGCGCACCATTCATGATCCGCGTGGAATTTATCGAGAAGATGACAATGCTCTGGGTGGAGTGGAACAAGCAGAACGATACAAACACAATGCAGACCTGGATCAAGGCGGCCAAAAAGCGGACGAAGGGCGGCATTGTGCCGAATGAAGATATTTCTTAATGCTTCTGAGACGAATGAAATGGCAAATCGGTAGATAAGAGAATGAGGGCTCTTGAGATGCAATGCTTAACAAGCTGATTACAGGTTCAGCCAAGGAGAATAGATGCGCAAAAAGGGTATCCATGGAGAGATCCAGCCTGGGCCGGGACGTAACTCCCATGGTGTGGTATCAGGTATTCCGGTAACGTGGAAGCTGCAACGGGGAGAGTGTCAAAAAAAGGGGCCGCGGCACAAGAATCAGGTGGTTTAGAAGGAGTTGGCCTATGGCTTTGACGGTCACTGACGATTTACCATAGTGACACCTCTTGTGTCAAGGGTTGTTTGGAGGTTCTAGTTTGAGAATAATCTTGTGCACTAATAGGTGGCACGTGCAAAGGCACATACCTTATCGCAATCACCACGTGATCATATTCTCCTCATCGCTTGTCTTGATGACGGAATCAATGCATGTGAACGATGGTCACTTTCTGATTAAATCTCAACCTGTCCCCCTCATACCGAGTATATAAGGACAGCTTCACTCAGTAACCCTTCCTGAGAAATCAGGGTACCATAGAAACCTTATCCACATGGCTCTCCCCCCCAAATTCTCCGGTCAGCTTCTGGCCTCGGCCTCCAGCAACGAAGCAAAGCACACCATCGAGCTTTACTTGGACTATGTCTGTCCCTTCTCTGCGAAGTTGTTCAAGACCTTCTACAAGAGCGTTGCACCCGTCATTGAGAAGAAGTACACCAACCCTGGCGTCCGTGTCATCTTCCGTCAACAGATCCAGCCTTGGCATCCTTCTTCTACCCTCGTTCATGAAGCCGGTGCTGCCGTTCTGAAAACCGCGCCCAACTCCTTTTGGTCGTTTTCGGAAAAGCTGTTCGAGCAACAAAAGGATTATTTCGATGTCAGCCTGGTGAATGAAAGTCGGAACGAGACGTACAAGCGGCTTGCTAAGCTGGCCGGCTCTGTGGAAGGGGTGGACGAGAAGACCATTTTGGACTTGTTGTTGGTCCCCGACAAGCCAGACAAGGACGGCGGACTCAACATCGGGAATAAGGTCACTGACGACGTCAAGTTCATGGTCAAGGCGAACAGAGTTACCGGTGTCCATGTCACGCCAACTGTCCTGTTCAATGGCGTAGAGGAACGCAGCATCAGCTCCGGTTGGACGATAGAGCAATGGGAGGAGTGGCTGCAAAAGAACGCGAGTTGAAAAAGAGAAGCCAGCCCAACAAAGAGTCGACGGAATTCTGACATGGGGACCAGAGTCGCTTGCAGATGATGATGAGTAGCGTACAAGAACACCATCCATTCTCTCTGGGTTTGAGCTAAGTTGGTGGTGGAGCTGAAAAGGCTACGCTAAACCTGAGTGACCACCAACATCTTTGTGCCTAAATTCTTTGGCCGCCGTTGGATCCATTCGTCAAGACATACACAAACTGGTACTAAGCACACCCGCTGAATGCACATTTGAACACGGTTCCTGTGTTTCCGGAGAAAACGCCCTCCCAATGCTGCGCTAGTTGGAGAAGTGATTCGGATGCAATTGTGTCGAGATCAGTGGGCAGGAGGCTGGTATCCAATCGGTCGTCTGCTCATCGTGTTAACACCCGGGGACAAATGTGAGGTTGGCCAGACTTACTTGAACAGGAGGATATGTGGTTCGGGTTCGTGAACTTCATAGTGTTCCCATCCTAGACTCTGCCGAATGTTCAGCTGAAGTGTAATACGTATTGTGACCGTTTCAAATACCTGTGTGATCCCCAGTCCTCTCCATTCCTCTTCCCATAGCAATTTCAACGTTCCCTTCGAGTCATCAAAGTACTCTCTTGGGATGACCTTCAACATGGCCTTTGGGAGTTGCACATGACGGTATTCGAATTCGCTGTCAGAATATCTGGCGCCTGTTAGCCTCAGAACAACGAGCAAATTTGGTGGATACACACCTCGCCGAATATCCAATACTGTCAATGAACTCCTCCAGTCGCGCTCTCTCGGACTCGAGCAATAACCTAGGCTTCTTATTCCGCCTTGACATGTCAATCTCGGTCATGTTGCAGGATTATGAGACGCGATCGGTGGTGAAGGCTCTTGAAGCGAAGTGTCTCTCGCTCGGGAGACGTGATGAGGGGTAGTGAAGGAGTACAA